CTTGACACAATGTGTCGGCAGGCCTCGAATCTGTCTGAAGCATCAGGTATATCACTCCAAGTCAGATGAAATCAGCGAGTGTCAGGAATCAGCCTTAGACCTGAGACCTCTCATGACAGCAATGTATCAGATTGAGGAGCTCCACTGCACTCAAGCATAAGACGCATTCAGAAAGCAGGTACGCTTGCACCCCTCCCTTCGGCGGTGACCCCCAGGGAGAGCACCGGCATTTGACAGAAGCTGACAAAAACTCAAGCTGCACAAAGCCGTTTGGAACAGGGATTGACGCACACACGTTCGCAAATCGCAATCCTAATCTTCACAGGCTGAGATGTTTAGCACGCAGGTGGCAAAAGGCATCACTCTTGGTATTCACTTTACTGCGTTAGACCTCACACTCGACGAAGCAGCAGGCACTTTATACTGCCTTCGGTGTTAGAGTATAGTAACTATGCACGGCGATGACAGTGCACCATGTGACTTTTTCACAAGCGTTGCACAACAGGACGGCTCCTGATGATGCATCACCAGGGAGTTTGGGCGTCTTCGTGTGCAGTGATCGCACACGCTTTCTCGCCGCCCCCTGCACCACGAAGCAGGCTGCGAAACATGCAAGCAGAAGAGCCGATCTCCCTTGGTAACGGGTTGTATGCACACAAAACAGTGAAGCTTACACAGAAGGTGCTCCGTAGCCGCGCGCACATGCCTTCATTGAAGTTGACTAGGACAGCACTTGCGGTTCACGGGTCTTTGCATCAGCCTCGAAGCACAGGTCAATCACTATCGACAAACATCTTCAGTTTTAGAGTACCGAAAACTCTGAGAGCATCAAGCTTTTTGGTTTGTTTGGGCATGGGAAAGCAACGTTGGTAAGCCAAGCTTTTCTGCACACCGCCAGCGACAACGTTGGTAACCCCAGGAAACCAACGAATTGTCAAACCAGAGGGTCGGTTTCGTTGGTTTCTCAAGGTTTTCGTTGGCGATGTGCGCAGGGCCGTTGGCGGGTTTGGGAAGGGGAAAATGCCACCTTGGCGAAGCCAATGGTTGGTTTTGGAATGGGAAAGTGCCGACAACCCGGGTAAATCATGGTTGGTGCCTTATCATATTATGTTACATGCACCTGAGGCAGTTTGGTCGCCTGGCGTGCCCCAGATCTGTGGTATTCTGCTGATGGCATCAATGTCAGCTAGCGTCGCCCGGCAGCCTCAAGTATGGATCCAGGATAATCGGGTCTGGGCTAGTCCCCAACCTTTTGTTCTTGCATCGTGACAAAATCTTTGTACTGTATGCACAACTGCTAGGGGCTCCAAGAGTGCGCATGCAAGATTCATGCCATGTGCAAACGATGCGGGTGACAACCCCCTCTTTGTGGTCAAAGGCGAGAAGTGCCATCGGCCGACTCAGCTCACAAGGCCAGCCTGCAGCTCTCAAAGTCTTTATGGGATGTAGCACTGACAAATCGGCCGCTCTCGCTTAAAATTGACATCGATCATGATCGATCGCTACATTGCACGTGAGTGCTTGACTTGCCTCGGCAAATTGACCGTCGAAGATTTGCCAATGTCGACATGTGCTACTATTGGCGAAGCAGTTCGGCACGAATCCTACTATTTTGGCGTTTCCGGTTCAGGGTTTAGGGTTTAGGGTTTGGGGGTTTCTGAATCAGGTTCCTTTATTACACCCCTTGGATCGTTTAGCAACTAAGGCCCTATAGCGCACAAAGCCCCTGAACCCGATTCGGAAGGGTCCGGTGACAAGGGCCCAATTACCGGGGCCTGAATCCTTGGGGTTTGGGTTTGGGGTTGAGGGCCTTGTAGACCTCCCAGTAGAACTTGTGGAAGCGGTGGTGCGGCACAGTTTCGGAGGGGTCCTCCGGAATTCGGATTGAGGAGGGTTTCAGGTTGCGGGTGCAGCGTCAGGGCTTAGCGAAGTGGGAACCTGTCCCTGACCAGGTCCTGCGAAACTGTCCTGGTGTCTCGCCAATCTCCGCGTGAGGAGGCCTTTGCGGGAGTGGTCATGTTCGCTTCAGTTGTCATGCCTCTTGACAGGCAGCCGCTGCTGAATGATGTCGCGACAGCAGTGCAACAGCGTTTGAGCGAATCCCAGCTGCCCGGAGCCCAGCTGGATCCGTGCTAACTTCGCTTTCGTTGCCAGCGGCATTTGGCGCAGGCAGAGTTCGACAAAGATCGCATGGTGCAGCGTCGTCAGGGCCATTTTTCCTGGGGAACTCTGAGTGCCTGAAAGCGGCAAGACAGTTTCGATGCCTGCATGGATGAGGTCCTGTTGGCAGAGCCCTGGCAGCTGTATCCCATGCTGGAAACAACTCTATCTGTGGTCAGAGATCTCAGCCGTGTTGCCGATGTCTCGCGCAGAAAGGACAAGGAGATTTTGCTTCATTTGGGTAAGAACCTCATTCCGAGGTGAATCGACAGCCTGCCGACATGAGCTCTCCGAGTGCTTTGGGCTGAGTCGTGAGGCTTGCCAATCTGCCGCATGCCGTAGTCGCGTAATCAACGGGTGTTTTTTTGGCCGCTTGCTGCTGCATGAGGCTCATGCTTTGCTATGGTGCTTATGGACCACGGCCTTCCCTCACCCAGGCAGACTCTTCAAGGAGCCTGCAGCCCAGTTTCCTGAGCTGGGGGTTGACTTTGTTCCTCTGCCATCCCGCCGGGTCGAGGAGTGGAATTCAGCCTTGCCTAGAGTTCCATAACACCAGCCGGTCTGGCCGCAGCTCAGCCAGTTTGGCCACTAGGAAAGACATGGTCATGGTACTGTAGTCAGGTTTTACTTTCTTTCCCACACTTCTCGTCCGGGGTCATGTTGACATGAGGACATGAAGCAATCGTTTTTCAGTATAAAGCAAATTGAGCACTTTGAGGTGGCTGCAGCGAGGAATCGATTTGGGCGACATGTCGACTGCGGTCGAGGCAACCGCATGCCGGAATTGCTGCTCAGCTGAGTGTTGAGATAATCAGGTTCTCCTCGCTGACTCCGAATGGAGGCGAGACCAGGATGAGGAGCGCCGGCGATTCGGTTTCGATAGTCCTTGAAGAGTTTGAGCTTTTCGAGGACCTCACATGGATCTGCTTGCTTCAGTACACGAGCCGGTCGGGACCCTGCCAGGAGGTCCAGCGGATACCAGAGCTTAACACGGTCTTTCAACTGCTTGCCTTTCCTCGTGCTCGGAGGTGATTCGCAAGTACTCCTGTGGTCGTGAGCTCCCTGGCTGGTTGCGCGTACGGGATGGCCCCTGGAGTAAGTCGAAGGCGCGGTTCGAAGCATTGCGAGTGCGTGTGAATGCTTGCTGGGCGATGCGGGGCATCACGGAGGATACGTTTTAGTATGAACGGATCTGGCTTGGTCGGATTCGTGAAGGTGAGCAAGAACAAGCCTGAACTCGTCACACTCTCAGAGAAGATACCACAGGGATGGCGCAACCTCCGTGGGTTTTTGCCGTGAGGCCAAGTACATGCAGAGATTTTCGAATCTCGAGAAGTTCGCACAACCGGCCTCAGGCGCGTGTGGGACGGAGGACGTGTCTCTACACGCATTGACAGCGGAGAGATCGTGGGTGATCAGGGAACCACTGGGAGAAGCTCGGTGCCGTCATCGACTTCGTGGAGCACCGCCTCTCCGCTGCTGCTCCTCAGGCAAAGGGGAGATACTGCCTTGAGTCAAGAGACTGCCGCTGCGTCCTCCGTCTTCGACCTGGGAGGTGCCCGGCACTGTGAACGAGATGCTTCGCTTGCTAGACAGCTTTGCGCAGCGCCGAGAGCACTGGCTCAAGGTGGGAGCCCAGAACTTGCAAGGGCAGCGACCGGAAGCCATCGCATGACTCGGACCTGCATGGCGGCACTGAGGTTGCTGGTGGAGCAAAAGCTGAGGTGCTGTTGCACACCCATGGTTTGAGGACTTGGCAGTGGCACGAGGCGCAACCCCTTGCTCAGTGGCTCTGGGAAAAGCAGGCAGTCCTGCATATGGGATGCCAGGTTGCGGTGGAGTGTGGCACCTTCATAGGCAGATTTTCTGTAATGTGATGCCAAGCGCACGCTCAATTCAACCGCTTACCGATGCAAGGCTACTCCGCGATGCGTCTGGCGTTGCAGAGCCACCGACATGCTTGACAATCCATAAGATGCCGCCGTTGCAGATCCGCTTGGCTGAGGATGCTCGCTGGCCGAGAGTCTCTCGACAAGAGAGCAGGTCCCCATGTCTTCACAATCGAGGCCATGGCCAGCCCACCGATTGCCTTGCTTTCAGCTGGTAGCTGGATGTCGTTCCTTTGGATTTTCGCTGTTGCTTGATTGAGTCGTGCAGTCTGCTCAGAGGTGGACCCGGTGCAGGCTTGCATAGCCAGGCACCTCGTGGACCTAGCCGGTGCCACAGCCTAAGCATTTTCGTTGGGGTGTGATGCCTCGAATGCTACCTTGTGCGGAGCTCAGGTTTCGTGCTCAGTGGAGGTTGCCATTGGACAGGCGAGGATCCCCGACCGCTCACACTTGTGCCACAGTGCTGCGCCTCTGAAAGCAGGTGCGTGATATTGTACCCAAGATCGTCGAACTCTTTGGTGCCACATCGGTGGGCATGGTCTTCATGGACTACAAGGTCGCGGATGCTTCCACTGCACCCCGCTGCTTGTAAGTGAGCACAATGCCAGGGCACAGCCTTCCATACCGACCTCGACACACTGGTGTTTGTCTCAGTTTTCCACCGCGATGATTGCAACATTCCGAGATGCTCAGGAAGACACCGGAGCGCTAGGCCGGGGTCCGCGGTATCTGTTTGTGGAGTTCTGGGCGGGGGGGGGCCTTGCCTGCCTGCAGGCATCGATAGCCGTCTTCTTGCGGACAATGTTGCGCTACCAGGTCCTGGTGACTCATTAGAAGACATGTTCCGTTCCAGGAAGACACCGATGGGTTTGACGCTTGTGCGAGGCGCACCTCTCTTGCTCTGGAACCTGGCCTTCAGTCCGCCGGCATGCTGAGGATGCGGGTGTTTTTTGTGCATGTCCTTCCGTTTTGGAGTGAGGTCCTGGGAGTTGACTGCATTTGCCATGACGGAGTTTCACGAACCCAACACAGAGGACTGGATGGCCCTGGGGAGGCAAGGCCGCACAACGTGAGAAAGCGCCACGATGACATGACCAATGAACCGGTGTCTCAGGTTACCTGAACAGGGGCACAACAACAGGATAAGAGAGGAAGACGTTTGTTTTGACAAGTCGCCTGTTATGAGTTAACGGGGCCCGGCTCATGACGCATCTGCTCATCCAAGATTCGAAAATGAACCAACCGGCCTGTCAGTAGCATGGCGCTTTTTTTAGAGGTACCGTGGCCCAGCAGGGCCGGCACCTGCTGCACCAGCGAGTTGGCAGCACCTCTCTTGGCACACGGCTTCTCGTCTGAGCTTTCAGAGCATCTACCCGGGGCACAGTATGCAGAAGTGTAGGTCGTTCGCCGATTCCTCCCTGACATCTGAAACCTACTTTCCGAAAGCTTAGAGGCTGGTTGCGGGCCTAGTTCGCCGTCGAGAGACTCCGACACTACCTTTGCCGAGCCTTTTGAACCCCAACGCGCGCGGAGTGTTCGCACTCAGCTATTGACGGATGTGAAGTATCGGACGCACACAAAGAGACAACAACGATACAGTGCAAGCTGCAAAATTGAGTGAGTGTAGACATGCAGTCGCAGAATCGCTCCTTGAACTCACACACCAGAGTGCATCACTGCTCTGGGTTGTGGTGTGTTGCATCCAAGATGCCAGTACAATGTAGTTAATCGACATGTCATCCTGTGGGAGGACCGGTGCCTGCTTGTCGCAAAAATGTAGAAGTAAACAACTTGCGAATACTGTCTAGTCACCAAGACAGATGATACAGAGAGCTGCAGAAAAGTTGCGGCAAGGCCAAAAGCAGACTAGCATGGAATTCGGACTGCCCCAGACCTGCCAGTCTTCAACATGGCGGGCCAAGGATCACATGCGCCGCAGAGCCTGCGGTCTCCGACCTACAGAAGGAGACATGCCTGGACCCGAGTCTCTATCCGTACCTCGGTGACAACCTCCCTCTTGCCCTCTCTAGTCTTGATTGACTCGTGAAGGCAACTGTTTTTCAGTTGTTGAACTGGCTATTCACGTTCCCGCTTGGTGCGGCGCTGCGCTTGTGACGGGCAGTACTGCATGCACCAGCTCGGTGTGCTGCAGCCCGCGAAAGCGGTGGAGAGAGGTAAGAGACTTGATCGCTGCGATCGGTTGAACGGCCTGACCTAATTAGGGCACCTGCATCAAACCATGATCCATCCTCTGAGAAGAAGAAGAACAACCTTTGGACAGGGCAGCACGATCTAAGAAGTGGTGCTTGACCCAGGTTCGACCACTTGCACGGAAAAGGATGGAAATAAGCAGTCCAGTACTTGGGCTTGAAGGGAGGGTACGAAGCTTGAGTGACAGCGAGGTTTGAAGCAGACCGCGTCGCCTACTCCAGACACGTGAGGCTCTGTCTTCGTTCTGATTACTCGACATGTTCTCACCTTTGACAAGTGAATGACTGCAATCGGTGAACATTACGCCTCGCGTGCATGGAGTAGGCGGCACTACAATGCGGCTGGCATTCAGGCCTTCCTGCATGCTGCACGTAGCTGGTGGATTTCAGGTAGGCTGCTAAATGTTTTGCCCAGTATGTCAAGAAGGCTGCGGATCGCGCGTCATGCGTGTCAGAGGCCGTTCCGTGGCACTGCCATGCGCGAGTGGAGGCTTCAGGACGGGACTCGTCGTTGTCCACAACACCGGCTGTAGTGTCCTTTGCGAGATCGTCTTGAAGCAGAAGCCGGAAGGACGTTCTTCCACAAACGACCATGAAGCCGCTGGTTGCGGGGAAACAGGACCGGAGACACCACCATGCAAGCTGCGTCTGGAGATGCGACTGTCAATCTCAGCTAACAGATCACAGCATTCACACCGTCATTCGCTAGTAATGTTGGCTCGAAAGTGTGAGCCTGCTTGCTTGAGCTTCTAATTTGATCCAAGTTATAGATTCATTGTAGATTGTTGTAAGAGTCCTGGAGTCACAACTGGTGCACTTCAACTGCGCTGTCTGGATCCATGAGAAGAGAGTCACAGATCCAGCGCGGTCAACTTTGGATAGAGCTGCACAGACCTGTCCCAAGCCAACACGTGTCCGAATGTGAATAGGTTTTCTTTGTAGCAAAGCTCGCTAGAGCCATGGGGCAGCTCGCAGGTGACTGCTTGTCTTGTCGAGGAGCTTTACGGTTGTAGGACTCGTGGGCCAGTCGTCTGAGGTCGAGTGGCCCTGGCAGCAGTCGCTTTGGCGTCAGAGGTCGGGGCACCGTGCGGTCTTCGGGAGAAACTGGTTTTTTTGGCCTGTCGGCCCCTTGGAGGACTACATGGCCAGAGTCGATCCATCGCTGCACACATGGACGAGAACCGTCCGAGTGGCTGAAGACACGCCACTTCTCGGCAGTTCAATCCAAAACCAAGCACTTGGACATGCTCTGAGTAGTTCGCTGGTTTAGTGTTGCTTTGCCGATGGGTTCACTGGATGTTAGGGCCAGACACAGGTTTTGAAGTTGGCCATGGCCTGGAGGTTCCTCCTCCTGGAGATGCATCAGGGGAATCTCAAAGCCTTCCTGAACGGGGAAGCAGAGGTGGACTTGCCACAGCCTCGGTCGTTATCAAGCTGAGATCATTGGCCTTCAGTTGTCCGGCTGGTCCGGCATACAGCTGGGAAACAGGCCTCGAGAGCAGGAGGAGCAGTTGCTGAGTGCCTTTCCCGCAGAAGCCCTGACGGTGGAAGCCCGCACGCCTCAAATACAAAGCCAGCGCTGGGCAGCGAAGATCCTTCGGTACTTCGACTTTTGGTAGCCTCGTTCTCCAAATAAAAATTGGTTAAAGCATCTAATATAGTGTATATACTGCATATTGCAGAAGACCTGCCAATCGAGGCATGCGGTGGGACAGCGAGTGGATCCAGACTGCGCTGTGAACACAGAGAATCACTTAGAGAAGGAAATTCTGGATACTCGTCTTAACAAAGCGCAGAGATTGCTGCGAAGCGGTCAGAAATGCGGAGACTGGATTTTGAGACTTCTGTTTTTTCTGCTCTGAGGCGGTCTTCCGCAGGCTGCGCAGTCACTCGTCTCAATGCTGTGCTTGAGCCTCTCTGAGCAACGAGACTTAAACTTCAGCTAGTCGCAGATCCTCCCGTCGGTTCCGTGCTGACCTTCGGGGGCCTGTACGGTGGTGTCCGCGGTGAAGGAATCAGCATGCCCCAGGTGCACTTACTAGGATGCTGAACCGCGGTTGGCAGGAGTCGATGTGCCCGACGATCCTGCCGTGGAGCTTATGTTGGAGCTGCAGCCCCTCTAGCTGCATTGGGATCGATACAATGTTCACCCGACGCCTCAATAGATCTGCAGCAGGCACCCGTTCCATTTTGCATCTGAGGCAGAGAGGAATCGTGCGGTTGAAGGGGCTCTGCATGTTTTGCGACGAGGAGCAGGCGCGCAGCCGTGAATTTACGATTCCTCAGGTGCATAAAGAGCCTTAGAGCCCATGGCTGTTGGAGGTAAGTTCACTGACTCGCGCGCAGGGGTTGCAGAGCGCAGCTCAGCTCTCTCAATCATTTGCGGTTCTCATGAGATGGACAGAGCCTGTGTGGCGTTCGAGGCACTGCGCACACTGAACATGCCTGACCCGCTTCGTTGGGCAGAACTTCAGCTTCCAGCAGAGTTTGCAGGCTGGAGCTTGGAGAGTTGGGGTTTCTGGCCGGAAGACGTTCAACTGCCAGGTGAGCTGGACCTGCTTCGCTTGGATGGGCTGGAGCATGGAGTCTCCTGTGAGGTCTTGCGCAATGTCTTGCGCGCCGGAGTCGCTGCCTGAGCCATGCGTCAACGCGACCTGCGGGTTCTGAATGGGGCACAAGGTGCGTCCCCGGCTGGTGGCCCTGTTGGTGCTCAGTCAGGTGACGCAGCCTTGCCATTTGTCCGTTGCTTCCGTTGCTTACTGCAGTTTGGCCTTTCAGGTGCCCCCACCTTTCCAGTACTTTCCGCTCGGCCAGCTGGCTGCAAGTGCCTGCACCTGTCGCGCTTCTCATGCGCAAGCACGTGCATGGCGAGCCTGCGAGGCAGTTTTTTGCCATGTCCCAAGGCGTTTCGGGATACAACTCCCCTCCGGCTCTGATGTCATGCTCTCTGTCTGGAGCGATAGAGGCGGGACACGCCGTAGTGTAGTGCTGTTGACAAGTAGCACCTTATGTTGCTGGAACATGTAGCAGAGTTCGAGGTTCTGGCCAAGCATGACCTCTTTCTTATTCGACTTACCGGGCCATATGCGCTTTTCGTGCGGCAGAGCGAGTGGCCCGAGGTGCACACAAACAGTCGCGAGTGTCCATCCGGTATCTTTGCTTCGTTGCTGCATGCCGCCGGAGGTGCTGCCCATCAACGAGTTCGACTGCTATCGCCGGGCGTCTGTTTGGGGCTTGAAGGCAAGGTGTCAGTCTGTCCCGATTGCTTGGAGACGGATGGGGCACAGAGCTTGTCAGTCAACCTTTGTACCCCTGCTACATGCAGGATATTCCTCTGTCGTTCGTTCGCGAGTGGCTCCGTGAAGAAGTGGACCAGGCCACTCTGAGCAACCGCGTGGCAAAAGCTGTGCAACCGTCCTGGAGGTTCTGCCACGGTTATGGAGAAATCTTACTCACTTGCACTCTGACGGCGGCCCGTTTACCTTGGCTGTATGATGCGGCTCATGCGGCTCCCTCTGCGCCAACTGAGAGCAGCGCCGCTCTCCCAAAGTGGAAAATGTCGGCACAATGCACACTGATTGTGGATTCTCATGCTGTCTTGAGCCGGTCTCTGAATCTATGCGAATCTGCAGGTTTTGTTCTGCAAGTCGTGCAGAGTAGAGTGGATCCGCAAACCTTGCGGAGCCATGGATGCCATGGAAGTTGCCACCATGGCAGCACCTTTGGAGCTTTGGTTGCGTTTGAGCTCCGCTGAGCCGGCAAGTGTGCTTGACACATCCCTAACCTGAAACTCAGCTGATGAGAGGTGTCCTCGACATCCTCTGTGCACCCTGGTCGCTGGCGCAGAGGATTTGAATCTTTTTCACATGGCTATGACGCTGCTCTGCTTGGCCGTGCCAAGCGCAGGAACCACCTTAACTAGAAGCAGCCCGGCTTGACTCTCAGGTCCGGTCATGAGAGTTCTTGCATGGCCATAGCTTTTCAGCATCATCCTTCAAGAAAACCTTCCATGCTCAGTTCATGTCACGTTCCATGAAGCATTGCTTACAGAAGATGCTGGGGCACCCTCTGAGTTCCTGAGGTCACGTCCTTTGGGCAGAGGTCCGCAGAGTCAGCCTCTTCAACTTGGCACACAGGCACGCAGCCCCAGTCTGCCATAGGGGAACAGTTCAAAGTGAGGTGAAACGACGACGGAGGTTTAAAAACAACTTGTCGTAAGCTGGCACTTTCAGTTGTACTTGTATGGCCGACAGTTTGGAAAATGTGCGCGTGCAGTTCGATATGCTTTTCCGCCACCCTACCGGGGCACTGCGACAAAGCAGCGCGACACCAGACACCGGAGCGCCGAAACTGCTGGACACTGGCACCGCGACAGCGGAACGCCGAGACATCGAGAAAAGAGGACCATCAAGATCCAGACACAACGAAACAAAGAGACACTTTCGCGACACACGAGCAACATGCCGGAACAGCTGGACACCGGAACCACAGCACAAGCACATGACATCTGAACACCGAAACGAACAAGCACCCAGGCAGCCACAAGACGAGACTATCGAGAAACAGCGACACTGCATAGCCGAATCGTCGGGAGAAGACGCGAACACCCGACACCGAGGCGCGGGCACACCCGGACACAGGAGGCAAACGATAGAAGGGATACTGCAACAAGTAATGGGCCCTTGGAAACACACAGCCGAAGCTGGCTATTTTTGGAACGGCCACGATCACCGCAGCATAATACTAACATGAAGACTAAACTACGATGCATGCGGGTTCAGCGGGCTTCAACAAAGCACAGCCTGGCGATGAAGTCACACCCATATTTAATCAGACGCATCTTGGCTACGATGGATGAAAGCATCAACATCTTTAAACATGCAACGCCATTTGGATATGTCGTGGTTGTGAATCTGTGTGATGACTTGCAGCTGTGCGTTCTTGCATCTGGACTGGTCAACTTGTGCCAGGCTGTTTGGCTTCGACTGCCATCGTCGGCCTGGCAGCCTCCAGGCATTTCCAATCATCGCAGCAGTTGCTTGAGGTTGCAGGGGAGATAATGGCTAAGTCCCCGTAGTCTGCAGTTTAAAAAGAGTATTGAGCTGCTTCAGTGCGAAGTGGAGAGGCCGGCCCGACGAAGGCTGCAGAGCAGACAGCTGCGGCAGACTTGCAGGGCTGCAGACTCGCCTGCTCGCGCCCGAGACGAATGAGATTCGGTTCGTCGAGTCACACCTGCTCACGCTTGCCGTGAATGCCAGGTCGTGCTACAGGTCAAGGAAGTCGAAGCCAAAAGCTGTGAACTGAGAGGAGGAAGGGCGTTGGGCGTTACTCTTTGCAGCTCTCATCTTGCAAGGCACGGATGAGGACGAGAAGCAGATCCTGAAGGGGCTCAACCTTACGATAAGGGCGGGCGAGGCCATGTGTTCACACTACCGTGAAGACTGGAGCTGCCCGTCGTTTGTAGCAGGTCCATGCTGTCATGGGACCGAACGGTTTTGTCCTCAGTGTCAACTCTACGACTGTATAGGCCCTAGTACCTCCCGACAGTGCACATCTGCAGTTCAGGCTCTGGAAAGAGCACGCTGGCTAAAGTTCTCATAGGGGACTCGGCTTATGAGGCGGGCCAACATGTCCGCGTGCAGATTCTCCCATACGTGCTTGGGCCAAGTGTCGAAAGCATGTCCAGCTGGGTTTGGGCAGGTCACCAAGGGCAGTGCCAAGTTAGGCGAGACCGACCTGCTGGAGATGGAACCTCATGCGGGTTCCACAGCTGCTCAGTGCCAGAGTATAGACTTTATGAGCCGCATGACATGCTGCGAGCCCTCGAGGAACGAGCGCTGGAAGGGCTGTTCCTCGCTTTCCAGTCACCTCCGGCCGTTGGAGGAGAAAGGTCCTCAGACTTGCTTTGAGTTCTTCGTCTACGCAAGCATCAAGACATCCAGCTGTCGACGCTTCGCCCCCCCCGGCCCCCCGTGCCTCTGTTCAAATCAGTTTCCTGTCTCCAAGAGGTCAGCAATTTGGATTTCCTCAGAGCAGCATACAATGCACAGAGGCGCGCACCGGCCTCAGAGGCTGGGTCTTAAGGGACCTTGAAACACTCAGACGCACTCTCCGTGCATCCCTGGAGCTCTCGAAGCTTGTAGTCACTTGTTGCCTGCACTGGAAAAGCCAAGCTGAAACGGGATGACTGGAATGCATAATCAAAGATCATGAGCCCGGTGTCGATATTGGAGCACATACTATACTGCCTTCCTTGCAGTCCCATGGATCTGTAAGGAACAGCAAGCACAGCCCACTTGCAAACAAGTCATGCACTCATAGTCAATATTGTTGCGGCCGTGCGGATGTCTTCCGGCATACGACGACGAAAGGCTGGGAAGCAAAGCTTGTGACCGATTCCAGGTCACTCTCAGCATCTTTGCAGGTTCCTGGATCTGAAGCAGATGAGGGCCTCTCAAAGTCGGGCGCGCTCGAGACTTTGAGAAAGTTCGATGTGTACAACAAGGTGCGGCGGTTTGAGCAGTTGGTTTGCTTTGTTGACAGCATCAGCTTGTCTGGAGAGGTCCATGAAGATTACATGCAGAAGCGACAGCTGGGGGGTGCTGTAACCCTCGTGACGTCTGCAATACTGGCAGTGCTGGTCTACTGCATCTTGGATGCACTGGCTCTTGGCTTCTCGTGGCCGAGATTCCGCCGACATACCTACGTACGTACGTGCTAACGTACACACATACACACCCGCAGCTCTGTGAATAGTCATTCGTTCTGCCAGAGTTGTTTTTTGATGTTGTGAAAGTGAACTGCGGCTGTGGCTGCAGCTTGCAGTACAAGCAGCGGGACCAGCTATTTGCAACAGACTCAGGTGAGGTCTGCGAATTCTTTAGTGTTGAGGTGCTCCACAGCATCACTGCACCTTGACAGCATCAAGAAGCTTCACTGCATGGCCTGGGAACAATCTCTCACCATCCGAAATCTAAACATCTTAGAAGCCCAAATCCCCGAGATCGTATCTTGACGGACAGCCGAGGCTGGTAGGACGTGTGTACAAAGGCCTAAGTATGTCATGTCATGTCATGTCCTTCAAGGCCAGCAGTACTATTCTAAGTATCGGTGAGTTGCTGGCATCCAGCAGTCCATGCGCAAGCAAGTCTGGGCAGTAGCGTGCGGTTGTGTCCTGCAGCATCTTCCTTCTTGGGCAACCCAAAAGGTCGACACGAACATCGACAGGAAGCTTCCCATATCCTTGGACATCACTTTTCCGCATCTGCGATGCTCCGAGGCAGTGTGCCTTCATGACCCTGAGCTCTGATAGTGGCATGCCCTTCATCAGACACGCCGCCTCGCGGTGGGTGGCTTCTCACAGAGAAACTGACATGTTGTTAATGTTCGCTTTCGCGGGCAGGTGTCCGTTGACACGGTGGATTCTGCTGGCGATACGCAGGCCGCACCTCTGAGTTGGAGCATGGTGTGGGGGGTAGCTCCGCGTTCAGGTAGATGCCCACGGTGGCCTCGACATGCACAACCTCGATGCTGCTGGCAAGATATCCACAGGTGAGCAGGGCTTCCCGCTCCAGCCATGTGCCGGGACACGGGTTGTGGTGCGACCGCGACGTTCGGTGCAGGTGATCCAGTGGCCAGCAAAGGTGATTGTTGGCCGTGCTTAGAAGCCGAGGATACGCAGCACAAGTGTTGCCCTCAGGCAGGCAGCAATCAGGCTTTCCAGTCTGGTACTTTTAGCAGTATCGTTTCTTCTACCGACATGTATGGATTGAGTGAAGCCTAGGTGCTGCAATAGTTGCCAAGAGCTCAAAGATGCGTACAACGACAAGGCAAACACACCCACCAGAGTATTCGGGTGCCGGCAGGAGGTTGAAGACTTTGTGATGACATGGTCAAGTTGCATGGTTGGACATCGCATCGTGCTACCTTGCTCATGGTGGTCAGGGGTCTGTGACCGCAAGCTGAGACTGAAACCTCTGCACGGTGTAGACTGTGTCCTCTGGCGATTCGATTTGACTGTGTGCTTGATGCGCAGGGGCTGCCATACTTCCACGTGTTGGACACAGCAATGCAATGCAAGAGCTCCATTGGGTGCCGAATAAAAGGCAAAGTTGTTGTGAACAAGGCAGGCGAGCACGCAGCTGCGATAAAGGTTTGGATGCACGAAGCAGCGTGAGTGACGTTGACTGCCTCGTCCAGGTCAGTGGCAATATCCATGTGGCCTTGGGGAAGTCTGTGCGGCGAGATGGCAAGCTAGTACATGAATTCAACATTGAAGACATCGGCAATCTGGCAGCAAGCGCGGCAGAGACGTGCGATCTTCTGCGGGGTTCAGACAGTCTGCGGAAAGTGCAGCTGCCCGGGGTTTGTCTTGCATACAGTGTCTTGCGCCTTTCCAAGGCCTGTGGTCCTGTTGCAGTGAATCGTTAAGCATTAACCGACTCCGGCAGCATGCTGTCTAAGGCGATGGTTTCAACACCTCGCACCACATTCATTCAATCACATTTGGATCCTCGGATGCGTTTCGGTGACTGCGCGGGATTCGGAAACCCTTGCAACGCAAAGCTTCTGATTATTTAGGAAATTTAGGTATCTTGCTTTAGAACTTCATCTCGATCTCTCCTGCTTGCGCTAAGGAGAATATGTTTACGGACTTCAGTCTCCACTTGAAGGCATCCGAAAAATTGTGGGGTGCTTAGCCGGCGGTTGCGCGGAGATTTGGAACTGGTAAGTCAGATGTACCAGCGCGACAAGCCGTGAGCGGGTTCACTTGCAGAGGATCGTGTTGCCGGGCTTTTGCTGTTTGCGTGGCCGCTGATCGGCACGGCCTTCTCGCCTCTCGCAGTGTCGCAAATGATCCCGTGTGCATGTTGTTGCAGATTTGGGCCTCGGGCTGTCCTGTACATTCCTGATGCTTTGAATTGTGCGTTTTTTGGTCGTGCATCTTCTTCCGTTGCGGCTTCGTGCTCAGGTGGAAAAGTTTGTGGCCTGCGTGGCTGTGTTGTCATGTCTTCAAGATTTTGCAAGCTCATTTTGCAGATTCAGCTTGTTCGCTTCCAGGGGTTTCTTCTGAGCAAGACGGGGTCGTGTGGCGGGGATAAGGCTTCGGCTTAGGCAGCTGCAGCCAGCTCTCCTGTACGCCACAACACTGGCAGCGATTTGTACTGTCGCGCAGCAGCCGTTGAAATTCCTTCGCTGCAGCTCTTCTAAAGAATCTTCTGCATGTGTCGTTTGGGGAATGAATCATTGGGCAAATACTCGGTCGATTTCGGTCGAGTCGTGATTCAAGCTGCTTATGTGACTGACTGACAACCCAACCCTCACGTAACGTCGCCCCCCAACATGTCTGCCAATCTGAGCATGCCGGAAAATCATATGGCTATGGACGTCCGGCAAGGGAAAAGAGCTCAGGCCGGCGCTGGCTCTTGGATGTCCATCTCTCAGCTTTGCCGTGTGGGTCTCCTGCTGAGATCGTCAGCAACCGCAGGTATCACTACTATGTCAAGCTCGTGCCAACGGTGTACATCAGCCGTTGGGGTACGACCACATACACAAACCAGTATTCCGTCACGGACAGCAGCTTGATTGCATGTGGGAAAGTATGGGCAAGTGGACAGCCGGTGAGGTCGCGGTTTTGGCAGTTCAGGTGCTCGTAACGTTCAAGTTCGAGAAGGGGAGCTGTCCGGGTTGCCGGGGGTCTTCCTGGTCTACGACTTCAGCCCTTTCCTCATGCAGCAGACGGAGCAGGCGTGGAATTCCCCACAGTTGAACCTCGTTCTACTGCAACGACAGTGGCAGTAAAGACAACTTGCAGAAACACCGGTTTCGAGTGGGGAAACGCTGGTCACATCTTGCAAGCAAAGTGGGCAGCAAAGCAGGCATCTTTATCTCTGACAGCATATGCGTGCAAGCCAACAAGTCAGGCGGTGAAACGGGTGAGTCTTTGACAGGTGAAGCCCTGGTCTTACGTGTTCACCTCTATGTGTGCCATCGTGGGTGGTGCTTTCTCAGTTGCAACTCTCGCCGCGACCCGAACTTCTGCATACTAAATATCAGGTTTCAACGATTGAGCGAGCGGCCCGAGGTAGAAATGGCTCTGAGTGGCGTTGCTGGCTGCATCTGAGCTCGGCCAAAGAACGGAAAAAGGGCTTCGTCTGTGCTAGATCCTAGCGCAAACGGAGCTGTGCAATGTTGTGCATGTGCAGCCGCCGGCAACTCCGTTTGAAGCGTTCGCTCCGAAAACGGGTGGGGGGGGGCGTGCGGGTTCTTTCTTGCCCAGACACGGACCGGTTCAACTTCGATGTCACAGGAACCCTGTTAGTGCACGAGCTAGATCCGAAGGTCTCTGCAACGAATTCTGCAGAGAGGAAATCCTAGTAGGCCCACATGACGCTGCAAGAAATCAGCAGAGCCCCAGAAAGACATGTCATCTCGTCCGCTGGGCTGCCGAGGCAAGAGAGGAGCCAGAGTTGGACGTCATCGAGTTCTACGGACTTGTGACTCAGAAGTTACAGGCAGGGCATTTGCAGAACCTTTCGGTGCTCATCGGACCTCCGGGCGGAGGACCTGAAGATAAATCCCGACTTCCTCAATCGAAACGTGAATGAAGGCTGGCACCAACTTGTGATGCTTCTGCTTGCAGCTCTGGGCCATTGAGAGGCTTCAGCGGAGGAGAGCGAAAGAGGCAGGCTTCCAGACCGACAAGAAGCTGGTAGTAAGCAAGAGTGGTAGTAGTAGGTCTAAGGCTCTAACCAGTACTGGGAGCATTAGACTGGAACTTGCAGGAACGAGATGCTGCAGATGGCTGTTCTGCAGCCCAAGCTAGCCATCCTCGATGAGCTCCTCGTCTGCAGAGAGCTTGCATAACCGCGTTCTGTCTCGTCCCATGTTTCGCTGCATGGCACAGACCACGAGAACAGGATTGATTCGGGACTCGACATAGATGCTCTCAAGGACGCGTGTTTTCCGTGCTTGGACTTTGGGTTTTGTTGCCTCGGAGGATGTGGCTGAAGCCATCCGAAGTGTCCGCGAGCAAGATCCTAACAGGGCCATGCTCGTCAGTGCCCTCAGCTTCTGCTGACCTGATGGGTGCCGCATCCCATGACTGACAAGGTCGTGACGCACTTCGAGAGGTTTCTCCGTTACGTTGAGGCCGACCATGTGCTTCGCCCTTACTCCAACCAGATACGTAGCAGGTATTTCGAGGATCCTCATTCTGCCTCACTTCTCAGGCACGTGATGTATCAGGGGCGCATCCTCAAGAGTGGAGGCAAAGAGCTCGCTGACAAGCTTGACGAGGACGATCTCCTTGTCAAATGGTCATCGATTGTCTCGGAATGCTCCTACACCGACATGCCATGCTTGAGGAGGGGTACGACTGGGTGCTGAAAGAAGCCAAGTAGGCTTTGTGAGTTTAGACGTCGTCGCATGAAGTGCCGGCTAACTCAAGTCTGCTGTAGAGCCAGTGCGCCGGAAATCTGGGGCAAAGCTACAGATGGTGTGCAGGCAGGCAGTACCCACATTTTTCTTTCGTGCTTTTCGCCAAACCTCCTCCCCATGCAAACCCTAATGCGCACAAGGAAAAGAGCAAGCTGTGAATAGGTTGTAGCAATGTTAGCTTGCGCATCTTCTGTCGCCAGCTTTGTTGCCCTGCTTGCAGTGCCTCGGTTCCCAGTGCCAGACTTTGCCTGAGCCATGCATAGGAAGTTGACGATACATCAATCTCTTCTGTGTGATTCACTGCAAGAGCTGATCAACAACAAATTCAGCTGAACTACCAGTGCACAGCCTATGTGTCCGAAGCATGGCGGATCAGGCGCGGGTGGCACCGCTGTTGACATGTACATTTTCAGTCGATGCCTGTGTGCCAAGTGGCTGTCGCGACTGCATCTCAAAGTCGCCACCCGCATGGAGGCATGCATTCCCCGGTCGGGTGGCTTCGTGGAGGAAGTGGACTTGCGTGTAGACTCGAGTTTCTGGAACAGCTGCACAGGACCACTTCAGAGATGCAAGTTGCCTGCGGCAAGCGAGCCATTGCCTGCAGGAGGCTACGTGGCTACCAGCTTGAGTGAACCTCATCTCCCAATGCTGTGGTGAGTCGCAGGCTTTAGCTGCTGCAGCTGCTGACACTGGTGGAAGAGAGGCCTCGTCAGAACAGGGAAGAGCACTAGGAGCGGGGGCCGAGCAGCTTCGTCAAAGGTAGCAAGCCCAAACTTGGAGAATCTGCATCAATTTGTTGGTCTCGGCACAAGGTGTTGGTGCACGTTTACGAGCTCGTCGAGCTGCATCCTCGAGTGCGTTGTGCGCAGACTGCATGGAAGCTGCTACCAATGCGATGTCAGGTTCGTCCGCATCAACCAGATCTTTGCGCGTGAGGCCCAGACCAGGAGAAGAGTGCTTTGCTTTCGGTGCAGAGATGTGAGGGGATCTGGGCTGGATCGTTCTTCTTCCGAACACGAGGTCCGAGATGATGCCCATCGGAGGTGCGCTCCACGCGGGTGTTGAGGTGGGCCGCAGCCTGGGCCAGGGACGTGCCATCCACGGAACTGGTGCGAAGGTCTACGGTCGAGAGTGGAGCTACGGAGGTGCTCCAGGCTCGGAGTGCGGGGGGGATCATTTTTTTTCTCTCTCTCTCTCTCTCTCTTTCTTGATTCTGGTCGCGGAGCCCGCGTAAACAGTAAACCAATGGGCCTTCAATCGAAGCGAACTCCTTGTAAGAGAGCCGATCTTTGGCTGCCGTCGTTGGAAGGCCGGCTTATCCTGCGTCGTTCGCAATTGTCTCGCCACGACGCGCGGGGATGCACACTTCATGCTCACCTTGGCTGTTCTGCCTACAGGCCGCCGAACCGGAGTGGTGTGCGAGGTGCCTCGGACGAATCGCAAACACAGGCTCGGCGGCAACATGCGGGAACCAAAGGCCCTTCAGAAGTCCGCTTCAGCGAGAATCGAGAACCACGCCAGGTATCGAGAGACTATTTCGCTGGGCACCACGCGACTCAGTGCATCGGAGGCCGCCAAGGGGCTGAAGGACCAGAGCCTTTGCAGCAGCACTGCCGCCATCTGCCGCCAGGTGTCTCTTTTGATTGGAGATCTGATTGAGAAGTGGTTGGGCGAGGTTGCTCGGGATCAGCAACTCCGGGCATTTTGCTGCCACTGCACCTGACAGGATTATCATTGGCTCCACAGAAACTGCCTTGCCTTTGCCAACGAGTTCTGCCGTAAACTAGGCTCCACCGGACAAGTACATGTCAAGTGAAGCTTGTGCAGTCATTGCCGTTGTTCATGACAGGTGTCGGAAATATCCCAGCCTGGCCTGGCTCCAAAAGCCATGCTAGAACTTGTGAGACTGCTTTTGAATTGTGCGTGTTCAGGATTGACCGACTGCCGCGTGGAGTTTGTGCGCTTGACGTAGGCTGCTCGCTGTGGGTTTGGCCCTTTTACAGCCAAGATCCGTCGCACCCAGATGGATAAACAGGCGTGCGGAACTTGGCAGAGACGGTGAGAGGGCTGGCTGACGGCACCCGTGCCGCTGCACATGCCTGGGCCTGAGTACATGACTCTGCATGAGGCCATGAGGCTCTCTGCATGCCGCTTGAAAGAAGTTTTCTGGCTGTGGTTCGCTGCGAGGCTTTAGCCGAAGGCCGGTTGCAGCTTCGGCTTCGCCTGCCACAGCCATAGCCGTCGTCGGTTCGACTCGAAAATTCAGTACCGTAGCTGCAAAGTGCCCTCTGAGCCTCGGACTCTTTCATCGCACGTGGTAGCACGCTTGCGTCCTGCTTCCTCTGCGGTGGGCAACCGAAGCCTTCGTACCTGCGGAGCGATGCACGTTTTCGAGCTAGCTGGGTTCCAAAGTTATTATGTGTTGACCTATGGACCTATGTGCCCGTTTCAGAGACAAGACTGACAAGGAGCATGGTATTTTCGGAAAGAGCCTCGAGCCTCGTTGATTCCGCGACATCTGCAGAGCGGCGGCAAGCATTGTAAGCGCCGCATATCCATGGCAGGGCAGCTGGACTGCGTCCGATGCCGGCCGGTATGCTCCTTCGACCCAGCATGTGCATCGAGTCTTGGATGAAAACTTGCTGTAGAGTTTCAGCAGCAATACCTCCTTTGTTGCGCGAGCCAAATCGTCCTCGTAGCACAAAAGCGAAGGCAGCATGTGAACCTCGGCAGCTTCATGGTCACGTCAGTGTTGTGAGCTCAGAGTAAGTTCTTTCTTGAAGCAACCCTGGCTTTGACGCCTCCAGGCCTGCCTCACGTGGATCCGCTTTCGCAGCCCCACAAGTCCTAAATGGTGGTCGAACACCCGGGCATCTGGCCTTGGACTCGGCTGAGAAAGCGATTACTCTTGCTGAATCTCTCGCATCGAAGCTTCGTGGCAAGGCACATGCTCATCGTCGTCGTCCTCCTTCTCTATCCTCCTCCTCCCCTCATCCTGTGATGATGATGATCATCATCACCAGCACCAGCACCAGCACCAGCACCAGCACCAGCACCAGCACCAGCACCATCACCATCACCATCATCATCAGCATCAGCATCATCATCATCATCAAGTGACATCTCCAGCTAACCCTGTGGTGTCTTAGGCCTCAACTTAGCTCTCTGAACTGGCCTTGTTGAGCGCCGGTCAGATAGGGATGGCAGTGTCAAGTGCGGACTGACCAGGAAGCAGACAAGTGCTATTTGGATGATCTCGTCCCAGCCTAAGCTGCAGAGCACACAGTGACAAAAGCGTGCATGGTCCGACGTCCAGGACGCTCTGGGAACAAATCCAAGATCACAAGCTCACGGACCCACAAAGATGCGCGCATATAGGACGCATAGGTACACAGGTGTGCCACATAGCTGCGGAGGCAAAGATTTACGGGTGTGTCACACTATATCGCACGAGTGCAAGTGCACATTCCTGCACATCTGTCCTTGCATTCGAGACAGAGAGAAAACAAGGTTGACATTTAACTTTATGAAACCCACTTCTTGGGGCGTGGGGGCCGAAGATACCCCAACAGTCGGGCGCCCCCTCATGGGGGGATCGCCCATCAGGCCTGGTGAAAAAAGACAGGGACAGAGAAGCACAGGGAGAAGACATTTGTATATTCGTTGAGCTGGGCCCGGACACAGGTCCAAGCTGTGAGTTCCTAGTGAAATGCACAAAGACATGCAACTCGGTAATGAATGGCTTTTCGTGAACTTGTCGGCGACAATGATGAGCTGACGATTGTTTGCTGAAGTACAGCCTACCATGTCTTCTGACGCTCCGCTCAATGTAGCTCTGCATTCAGAAGAAGATGTGGAAGTCTCGCACTTCATCTTCAGTTTTTTGGAATTCGCAAACGAATAAGTCGCGTAGAAATGTGCGTGCTGCATGTTTTTTGCGGATGTCTTGCCTGAATGACCCGCGGCAATTCTGATTTTGCTGGAAGTCTGATTTACATATGCTTGGCTCAGCAGCATGGACCCACGTCCATTCTTTTGACCAGCGCTTCAATGAACGCTTGGGGAACTCCCTTAGTCGAATGAGCACGCCGCTGCTTCGCCGTTTTCAATGCGGGCGCGCGGGGCCCCCAAGCATCTGCCGAACCTTGCAAACGAACGCCAGCCGCTTCTGATGCGAGGTGGCCGCTTGCAGAGTTCTGAGGCGGGCAGGAACCCTAAAGAAGCACGGGCTTCCTACTAGTAGCAGCTGAGGCGGCAGTAGATGGATAAGAACAAGAGCAGCAACACGAGCTGAAGCCGGACACGCTCAAAGACATCACAAAGTAGACAACTAGCAACTAGTTTACTAGTTGATATACGAGGCAAGGAAAACAGCATGTATATTTGCATGTACGTATGTCTGTCTGTCTGTCTGTCTGTCTGTCTGTATGTATGTATACATATGTAGGTGTGTAAACTATATATGTACTCATGTACACATATGAAACCAAACTAAAGAACTGTATGAAGCAAAACAAGCTTGAATAATACGCAGGAGCTGACCCGAAGAATAGTCGTTCCACGGGACACACCGGGCGTCACGACAAGAGTGCCTGTGCAGAACCCTTCACGTAAGGTCGAGTTATGTTTAGCTACTCTAGGGAACTTCACGGCAACGGCCACAACCAACCATGGCGCACCAGTGATTCAAGAGCATCATGCGCATCATTTGGAACGCTCTGGTGGGATCTGTATGCGATGCCGAGGGCAGCCAGCACAATGAACATCATCGAGTCTCCACTCTGCCCTTCTGCAAGATTGTGCAAGCACGTCTGAGCTTCTGAGGCCCTGTGACAGCAGCAACGTAGATATTAAGCTCCAACTTCTCACAAAGGCCCAACCACCGAAATGATGCTCATGATGCTGACCCAGCTGGAAGCTTCAAAAATTTCCCAGGCTTCCCTGAACGCTCGCCCCAAGCTGGAAGTCGGGGTCGGCTGACTATGTCGTGTTGATTTCGAGTCTTCTCTGTCAGATCATGCCGAAAGCGTATCGTACAGGCGATTGTCATGCCCGACAGTCGCTCCAGCTCGGCCGACGCCGATGTTCACGCCGTCGATCATCTCGTCGAACATGGCAACGGGCACAATCGAGGCTCGAGTGTCGAAAGTTGGTTTAGGGCCAGGGAACCCAGGGAACCTGAGCCGACCTCGTCTTGTGAAGGTTTCGAAGCAGCGATTTGAAGAGCTGCTGGAATCAGAGGTGGTCCACTTTGCCAGGGCGCTGCGGCCCCACCCGGTGCAACCTTGCGTGCTTGAAGTCGTCATCGTTTGTTGGTCATCCTGCTGCGTGCCAGATGACGCTTCAGCAGATCCTTCACCTTCAAGATGCAAAAAGCTTGCGTGAGTTCTTGCTGGAGGCAGCGATGCCCTCTGTAGATGTCCCACCCTTTCCAGCAGACGCCAGGAATTGCCTATCCGGTATGCTCGCCGAGTACAGCTCATTGAGGTCCCTCCTGAAAACTGTTTTGGGTTACTAGTACGGCTTCAGGGAGTCTATACACCAGTGTGCAACATAAGCATCCGTAGCACAACAAAAGTTGACATGAGATTGTGATGGCTTCATCAGCCGTTCATCGATGTCACTAGGACCGTTCGATTGCGTGCTGTTGTCGGGGTGGCTCACGCCCATCGCTTGCATTGCAGGAGCTGCAGTGGCACCTGTATTGCGTATGGTCGTCTAGCTTGCCTGACATTAGAAATTCACCGGGAGCAACATTATCTGCTCGGGAGAGATCCGGGCGTTTCTGACAAAATTCATTCGCAAGCAAATCAAGAAGAGCACAATTGAAGCCACTTGCTCGATCAGTCCTTGCCGCGTTGGAGCGATTTTCCTCACATGCGGGTGATTCGCCGGCCGCTTAGACATGCCCCGCTTCGAGATGTGCTTTCGGCTTGGCTACCTCGCGTTGGATGCAAGGCTCCTTGTACTTCGATGCTTTTCGCAAGCTTCGTGCAGTGCCTCCCGAAGAAGAGGACTGCAGCGCTGACGTCAAACGAAAATGAGACGAATAAAGACGCTGTCAAGGAACGCTTCAGAAGCATGCTGCAAGATATCAAGCGACGAAACGCCAACATGCTGTTTCACGTTATGAGGCATGGCTCGTTGGTGCACAGGGAAAGCATAGGATAGGGAGATATTGAGACTTGGCAGGGGCGTCCGCACCATGCGTGCGAAGCATGCGCTCACGGAGGAGCAGGTCGGAGGGTTTCGGAGAGACTTCGAAGCCACTGGAAACCCACGACGCGAGGTTAACCGGTTTCTGGACGAGTTCCTCACTGCCCGGATAGGGACGGATATCTTGTCCTCGCAGTACCTGGCAATGACAAAGTCCAGCGTCCAGCGCAGGAGTGCAAGTCTTGTCTTGCAGTCAGCCAGCTCCGGCTCAGGCCAGATTCCCCTACTTCGGTTGTCACTCCTGACTGCGACCCAGTCCGGGACACAGCGAAGAACACACCCCTTGGACCTACATTAGTCTCAAACTTTTTTCTGCAGGTTGACGTGGTTCGCACGGCCGCCGGCGATGCTGCTACCCTGTGCAGGAGCTCATCTCAGAGTGGCTCTTACCTTTGAAAGGGGCTTCCGGTTTTCAGGCATCACTACGGCTGGAGCCCGCCGATCGACATTGTGGATGTGGGCCAGGCCCGGCCCTCCTTCCGGATCGAATCCCCTCATCGAAACAGAGTTCGAGAGAGGTGCGATTTCCCTTTATCAAGCAGTACCTGAACTACATCATGCCAAGAGCTCAGGGCCGGAGCTCCACACAGGCTTGCGTCTCGACTCGACCCGAGGTTCGAGCTGATCAAGAACTCCTTGCGCGCGGTGGTTGAGAGGTGCGGCCGAGTTCGTCGACACTTCGCGTTTCTGCGTCCAGAGGCCTCGTCCCCTCACGCTCTTTTGGCAGGTATGGCTCTAGAGAAGCTGCAGAAGCCTACCCCATTCGTTGGCTTCCCAGTGCGGCTGTATCTCGACCACTGAACTTGGCAGCGGATTCTGGAGTTGTGGAAGCACGATGCCCTGTTCCTGGCATCTCCAGAGCACCGGAGCAGGTGTCGTCGTTTGCGGCGATGATGACACCATCGTGCTCCGAGTGTCTTGTGCTGAGATGCCTGTATCTGACATGCTTCTCGTCAGAGTAGCATGTGTCAGCAATCGGAGGCCGAAGTCCGCAAAAAGAGTCAGCAAATCAGGGGCTGTTTGTCAGCAAACGCAAGGGCGGATGTCGCAGGCAACATGCAGCATAAGTCAGAGACGAGAACGACAGTGTAGTATAAGCTGCTGCTGCACCAACAAGTACCTGAACCTTTGTGCTTCATTCCTATTTCCTTTGCCTGGTGTGTTGGACTTTCTTTCACTTCTTGTGCTTAAGGAAAACAAAACTCTAGTCAGTGAATTGAATGTCTGGCCTAACTAAGCAAAAAGAACGAAAACACATCGCGTCACACGCTCTTTTCATTTAGTGTTTTATCTTTCCCATTTTCGTTCCGTGCTGTCACTTAGCTTACACATGTTAAACGTGAGGAGATCAATGTGGTGCAAATTAGTGAAGTACAAACCAAGGTGGGTGGAGATTTTCTTTCGGTAAATGTGAGCCTATTTCTAGTGTAAAAGCCTGGTGTTTCATGAGTGCCCGAGTTTCACTGAATTGAGCGAACCACGTGCCGTCTTTTTTCGCTTGTGCTCTTTGCTCTATTACATACCAGGCACACTATTCACTCATCTTGGAAGAGACACCACAGTTGATNNGATTCATAGACTTGGAAATTAATGTGAAGAGAACACCAGCCATGTCATGGTACTGTAACGGAATGGACCAGAAAATCAATGGTTTCGTTCCTGTTTTTCTTTTGCTTTAATGAAAAGAAGCAAGCCACGCATTCACTTCACCATGTTTTTCATTGGCGTTAGTGTTTCTTTCGTTACACCAAACGCAACGCTCTTCACAACCCAGAAAACCTCCAAAATTCCCCAGTCTAACATGCATTCACTTCGTTTTTCATTGCAAGACTCGTTGATTTTGTTGTTTAACTTATCTCTTTTGCTTTCCACCCTTTCCTCTTCGTTCACCGCCAATTCGCTGTCTTGTTCCCTCACTCTTTGGGCTCTTGCAGCCAAGCATTGGTCTCCAACATGAGGTTCTCCAGCTCTAACCGTGTCACACCTTGGAATTCCCAAAAGATCCCAATTTAATATAAGACAGGCATGCCTTACTTCATCGCATTCGTTTCATTCTCCTTGTTGCCCTCGCATATCGCTAGCCTCGGAAAGGGCGTTGCATTACATTGACATGTCGGGAAAGTTTACACTCGATTTTCAGGAGCATGTCGTTGCGTTGACGTNNCGTCGCATGGCACTTCCTTTCTGTTTGGCGTTTCGGGCTGGGTCGTCTCCGATATCAGCTCTCAGATTTGCTGAGTGCGGCTATGCTGTTGATGACTTGCATCCGGTCCGCTTGCCGATTCTGCCCCTGGTGTTTTCGATTCTTTTTGCTGACTCGGACCCTGCCCTGCTCCTCGTGCTTGGGCTTAGCGTAACAACATCGACAGTGCATGCCAGTACAGAAGTGCTATCCATGTGGTGGAGGTCTGATTGTGGAGGTGGTGAGACCCTCGGCTTCGCGCCATTTTGGGCAGCAGCTTCGATTTTTGTCGAAGTCGAAGGCTTCGTTCCTTTCTGCGACATGCTCAGGTATTCCTCTTGACGACATGGATCAGGCTCCCTCACTGGGTCGCTGTTGTGGGACATGCTACTCGGGCGGTCTGACCTTGCATCTGCAAGTGCCCTTTTCTTCCACGTTGAATCTTCATGTTCAGGTGTGGTCTTACCTCTACACAACGGCAAAGCCTGCGTGCGAGGACGCTGTACACTGTATATCCAAGTACTTATATTTCCCTTGAGGCCCTGCTGAAATCCTATCTACAGGACGTGTCATCGGCCAGTGGCGCTGACAGCGACGACGATGACAACGATTCGGACGATGACCGCGGCATTGCGTGCGCTGCCTAGACAGGAGTGAAGGGACATTTGGAGCCAACTTCTGTGCCTCATCACCGGTGAATGCTGGAGGCCGCTAGCAGGTTTCGGCTGCGGCCTTCCCCTAAGCAGGCTGGAACGAGCACACTTGACTCGGATTGCGGTGCTGGTCATGAGTTATCGAGCCTGAGACAGGAATTATGCGTCAGGCTCCTGGCAGATTGTGGCAGTCAAGTGTTGAGACTCAAGTGTGCCACTGCTGCACTTGTGCCAAGGTGCTATGTGGGAGGGTGGCTGGAACTACACTCGATACCAGAATATGGGACAGACACGTGCGCTGCTGCAGTGTGTGCCGAACAAGGGCAGAGGAACCTGGGGTGTCTGGGAGGTACCTCTACTTAAACCGGGCGGGAAATGTCGAAGAAGCCATGCCCACCGACATAGATGCACGACCCTGAGCATCCATAGGCTGAACAAGAGAGTGCGGGGGAATGCCGCTTTGCTGCCCAGTGTTGTCATCAGGCTCATTTGCCAATTCGCGGTGCATTTCCGCGGGCAGCCTGAGCTGTGGTTTCACTTGTGTGCGAGGGGAGACGTATGTGGCACTATGTCGCATGTGATGCTCGCCAAGCCAAAACAAGTGCCGTTGCAGATGTGTGGCGACTCTCTTTTCCAACATGAGCGGTGATTCCTAGACCCGGATGGCCTTTTGTGCGTGCCCATAGCTTCGGCTGGATCATCCAATAGAGACTCGGCCCCTTTTATGTCCCCGATGTTCCGTAGTGAGTAGTGGGGGTAGTGTGCTTTTTCGCAAAACCATGGGCGTGCAAGGCAAGGTCTGAGCATCCTGAGCGGAGATTCGTAGAGCCCTCGTGTTCAGGCTTTGTCCCAAAAAGCCCCGAGACCGTCGTTCACAATGTTGCGCCCGTCGCACGGACCTTGGAGTGAAGTAAGCGATTGGCACAAGTGCAAAGGATTCTTCATGGCACCTTCATACAGTCAGCTGGCTTGTTGCTGTGCGGTTCTGAGGTTCAACGCCCTGTTCTGCAGAACCTGCAGAGTGCACTCCCTGGACAAACGATAGCCTTGCAGAAGGCATCGTAAATCCCTAAGTTGTACGGCACGGCTAAGGCGCGGACACTTCAATGGTGGCAGTTCAGCATGGGGGAGCTCGCCGTTCGTGCCCCAGCTCTTGCAGCTCTATAGCAAGTTGCAGCATGTTTCCGGTCGTGCTGGCCAGGTAGCGTGGCCTTGGTTGTGGGAGGAGGGCTTAGCCTGAGCGTGCCGCTGGCATCGCTTGGCGTAACTGACCCGAAGTTTTGTATTGAACAGGTGCAGTAGTTGAGCCTGGGAGGCGTTTACCTTCACCTGGCTTGGGCGGCGGAGCAGGCGACAGCCCCGACCTATTCAGAGGCCGCGGCGCGACTTGCTGATGCGACTCATGCGCCGAGTCAGCGAATAGAAGTTATCCAGATCTCAGGCATGCGGCACGGAGCATTGCCTCCAGGAAGACTGGATGCAAAAAGGCCGCAGTTTGGGGCCTCAGTTTTCGGTCTGAGGAGCTTCGTCACTTCTCGTTCGCTGAGGAGGGACAGGAGAGGCAACAACAGCCTTCCTGCCTGACATGCCTCGACCTGAGCATCCGGCATGGGCATCCGGCATGGGCGAGTCCCAGCCGATCAGCTGCCGAGGTCTCGAGCGAAGGAAGCGGCCCAGTTTGGAGCTTCACTTCCTTTACGTCGGGCACCGACTACCATGCAAGGAGGGCGGAGGGCGGAGGGCCCCTTTTGCTGTCGGAGGCCTCTCCAATCTTGCGACCTGGCTCTGCAGAGCGCCTTCCCGCTCTCAGCTGGCAGGTTTGGGGCTTGGGATGTTGGGGATTCTAGCGATTCTAGCGCTGGCAGTTCATCAGGAAGAAGCAGCAGCAGTGCAAGACGCTTTGGGCCTTGATGCAGAGGCAGATGCAGGCCAAACTGAGACTCATGGTTCAGAGTTCAGGAGAAGATGCTGCCAGCACATGCCAGCACCCTTCCTGAGAGGTTCCGCCATCGAAAATGACACGTCTCCTTCCTCGGCCTCCAGCCTATTTATGATAAGATCCGAGGACCCAAGATCCTCTCAGACGCGGCGCAGGAGCGTTAGTTCCGTGTGATCACGAATGCGAGGCCTCGACATACCCTGTGAGCACAGCGCGAATGCATGTGAATGTGGCCACGGCGGGATGCCCAGCACTCTGAGGCCGTACAAGTAGCGACTTGAGGCATTGCTTCCGAAGTGACTGGACTTCAGGTGGAAGTCCTTTCGCGTCTTGCTGCCGGGCCCACGAGCTGTGCTCCTCCAGGCCTTGCCGGACGGATAGCCCAGAGCTTTGCGGCGCCAACAAAATGCTCTCTCCCAGGCTCGACAAGGAAATAGGCATGAACGAGAACGAAGCGGCAACATTCCATTAAAACGTGAGGGTATCCGCATGATTCTGCTGACTGCTTGGGAGCTATGCCCCAAGTTTGATTTAGCCCAGCCAGGAACAGCTTCGAGAGCAAACAGGCTTCAAAGCGGCACAGCCAGGTTCAAAAATCACCATACGAAGTCTGGCTGATGCGACCCAGCCTTTGCAAGCATGGCGAAACAAGCCTCGAATCGAATCGTCAAGATCAAAGCGCTCTTGGGGTTCATGCCGCAGACTGAGCTGAGTCTGGCAGCCAGTGAGCTTACGTACTTGAAGATGAGATCAAGGTGTGTGCCGTACTTGGTAGCTGCCATCGCAGCATGGTGCTCAGGAGCTTTGCTAGCAGCTGTGCTAGCACTGCCACGGAGTGCCAGTCGCTGCACCGAGGTTGCCTGGCAGGCGGTAACAGTCCCGGCACTCGGCGAGCTGCAGGAAGTTGACATGCGAGGGAAGACAATCCTCATCACTGGAGCCACCTCCGGTTTGGGACTCTGGCAAGCAGAGGCCGGTTGTTAGCTCTGTGCAGCCGTTGCCGGCAGCATTACATTGACATGTCTGCATGCAGGTGCTTGCGCGTTGGAACGCATCCTTAATATTGCCAGCCTTGGTCTGAGAAGTACCCGTGTCGATTCGGAACGCATGAAGCCCGTGAACGCGATCTGTGTGGGGCCACGGCTTAGTGTGGCACACGAGGTGCGCGACCTGAAAAAGGGTCAGGCGCTCTTGGAAAGGTTTACACAGGCTGGTCGGCAGCATTGTTGGACGAGAAACTAGCAGCTGGCGTGACTTCCGCTTTTGCCAATTACCTGAAAGGAATTTCCGGCATCGCCTGCGCCAGCCGCAAACTCAGATCTGTGTGCAGAGCCTAGGCAGGTCAAGCCAGGACGCCCATGGAAGACGTTGACCCAGATTTCGAGCACCACAAGATCCTGCAATCACGGAATTACGCCCTCCTGACTCTGTCATCTCGACAAATTCCATCGCTACATTCATGGCACCGATAAGATGGAGGTGAGACGGTGAGTCAGCATCCCATTCCCTCCACTTCTCCTTTGTCAAAGCAGGCTTTGTTTTGATTGCAGTTCTGCAGTCCTACGGTCCTCACTTCCGAAGCTTTTACGCCTTCTACACAGAAGAGTCACGCGAGCGTGGATTGAGGATAGATTTACATTTCGGATGCTCCTTTCAGGCAGACATATCTGACATGGCATCTGTGCCAGATTGAAAAACGAGAGTTCTGCAGGCATTCAGGCACTATCTCCAGCTGCAAGGTCGTCATGGTAATGGATCTCGGATCTCTGCAGAGTGTGCGCGACTTTGCAGAGCAGTACACCGGACCGGTGGCCGGTTCCTCGACCTTCTGGGTGTGTTGAACTGTGACAGCTCCTGCATTCTGCTAGATTTTTGAGGATGTGCTGGTTCACAATGCTGCTATCCTGGGCACCGGCGAGCTCATCCGAACAGAGGACGCTTGGCCCATCTCCGGAAACGGAGGAGCACTCTTGTCCTGTGCTGCAGTTCTTGGCAGGATGGCTTCGAGGAGTGCCTGCAGGTCCACGGTGAGTTCCGGTGTGAGAAGTGGCACAACACGTTGCCGCAATGCAGCAGCGGTGGCGAAACCCGCAGGTCAACTACCTCTCGTCGCGCTTGACTGAGCTTGGAGAATGTGGGGAGGGGGAGCGTCATAGCCGGAGCCACGACAGCCCCTTACGGGTTGATGCAAGCGTTGTGCTCCCTGTTTGCTTGTGAGATTGCATGAGGTTTCTGCTCACACATTTGCTGCTCCCACGGCTGGAGCAAAGTGCAGCCGGGCGGATTGTGCACGTTTCTGCGAAGGCCCACGAGCACTGACCTCAGAATCATACCTTGCAGGGCCAGATGCTCCTTCACTTGAGTTCAAGGTGGGGCAACCTCAGCACTCAGGCGAGGGCACTGCCGCTAGGTCTGCGATGAGACAGTGTTGTTTTGCTGGACGTGTGCATGAGGACTTGAGATCACGCAAAGTTCTCGACTTGGACTTTCCGAAGAGGCATATATCAGACAGAGAGAGCTAGAGAGAGAGCGAGAGAGAGAGAGAGAGAGCACGTTCATACCCTTCCTTGGAGGCGCTTGCGGATGATGGGAAACCTGGGTGGATCCTATGCGGACTCCAAGCTGGCCCAGGCCGCAGAGGAAGTTGCGGTCCTCGCAGCGGATCGCAGCGGTTCACGTATGCTATGCAGAGTCAGTATGCGCCGGTCCCGTCTCTTCGCAGGTTCTTTTCAGCAATGCCTTGGCAAGGCGTCTACCTCCAAATGTTCAAGCCTTAGTGAGCCGTACCGAGTGCAAGGGCAGGCAGGCTCTGAGAATCTCTGAGATTCCAGGTTGTGACGCACGCCTTGCATCCAGCCATTGTGCCGTCATGGCCCCGGCTTGGTGCCAGTGCCATTTACGAGAAAGCGCCACAGAAGACCGCTGAGGACGGGCTTGCTCCGACAAGCAGACTTTTCTGCGACTCAGCAGTTCCTTGCTTACACTGTGCCTGACGTGGGATCCGGATCGGACCATGTGACAGATGGGAAGCTAACACATCCGCCGAGGTTTCTGCACGACAACATGATGCAGCCTGTGATGAGGATGGTCGGCTTCACACAGTCCAAGGCGAGATAAAATGAGATAAGTGGCCTCCCGGTCCATTGTTGCCTTGTTGCGTGCTGTATCTGCAGGAGGATGCTCCCAAAACGCAGATTCATGTATCCACCCATCCAGCCATTCAGGACACAAGCATGGTGCTAGTGCAGGCAGATGTATCAACGGGAATGCAGAAGCTCGCGAAGGACGTGACCGGGCGCTACTACTCGCCGCTGTCGCCTCCACTCATTGACTGTGGGCAAAAGGCACGTCATCCGCCTGTACAGGCAACCTATGGCAAGATCTGAAAGATTTGATGTCCCTGCAGGCGGAGTATTGCGGAATTTCCAGCATATCAGATGCCGCCGCCGATCGGTTTTTACAGGAGGAGCTCACAGTATGCTGGCATTCCGTGCGACGCGCGTTACGTTTGCATGCCGTCTTTGAGCAGGATCTCTTCGATGCCTCCTGTGAACTGCTGGACCTAAGCGACGGTCTTTGCGCGACAGTGCTGGAGAGCTGAGTCTTCTTTGACTCGGCTTCGCAGCAGTTCCAGTACTTAGCGCCCCTAGATCATCGCTCGAGATGCAACACTCAGCCAGTCAGCAGCACGGTGTTCATTGCCGTGCGCAGCAAGAAGCAGCTGTTCCCCGCTGGCTCCACTGAATTTCCAGCAGCCCGACCCGTGGGAAAGCCGAAAGCCACTGCTAAGCAGGAGGCTTCGAATCTTTGTGGCAAGATGTTACCCGGAACCTTGCGGAGCAAAGGCTCCAAGGAGTGTTTGGAGACTTCTTTCCATCGAAGGTCCCCGAGCTACCGGCTCCGGCACTCAATCGGTTCAAGAAGAAAGAATCAGCGTGTTGTCAGGCTACCCTTTTCAATGTGCTTGCACCCACAGTCCCACGGCAAGATGTCTAGAACTGCACCGCGCGAGCGCGCATATCTGTCTTCGTTCCGCGCAGCCTCTACCGAAGACACTTAACCACAGTAGGGCTGTGTCCCAAGAGCCAGGTCCTTCCTGGTGGCACATTGCAGCTCACAGCGAGCCCGGGACGGGGCGACTCATCCTGGAGGCAAGGCCCTTCCGAGACTCCGTGCAGTCGTAGAAGCGTAGAGGCATGTCGAGGCCATGCTCAAAGATTCAAGGATTCTGTGAGATTGCTTACAGAAACGGGCTCGTCATTTCATCTTGCTGAGGATGAGGACGGTGCACCTCAAGTGGTTTCAATGGCAGCTGGGAGCTTGGGAACGAAAAACTGGAATCAGATCCCTGCGCGCGTGCAAACGTAGATTCGTTAGCCCTTCCCCTGGCTCGGCTGATCAGTACATTAGAGGAACTCTGCCCGGAGCGGGAGTTCCCCTTCTGATTCTCACGCTGAGGGGTCGATCGGGTCTTCGGTTCAATCGAGCCTTCGAAGGCAGCTGTGGCGCATCTTCGTTGAACAAAGCTTTGCAGAAGAAAAGAGAAAGAGTACAAGAGCAAGTGCAGGAGATGAGGGGAGAGAGACCCAGAGTCAGAGAAAGAAAGACCGCAGGCTACGGCACCGAGAGCTCCACCCTGGAGGGACTGGATGCCGAAGCGAACGACTAGTACTACCACGGCTACGGTTTTTTATTGCTGCAGCCTACATCTCGCGCTTGCTGAGCTTACCACACCCTCCGGGCCCCAGTTCAGGAAATCGCAGCCACTTTGTTTTGGTTCGATCAAAGGGACCTGTAAACATCAGGGATCCAAGGCCAAGGCGTGTACGTACACATCAGGCGAGCCGAAAGGAGCCGAAAGCCCGCGTAGCTGGCAAGCTGAGGCGCAGCTTTTCACCTGCCAGACTCCACCTTTGGGCGTGTCAATCTTGGCATGTGCCGGGGAGCAGGCGGAACGATAGAAGGGACAGAAAAAGTCGGCTCCAGAGCGGCCACGGTTGGGCGTGCAAACAGGCTGGGAGAGCGCTCCTTTCGGCCGGGGCCTCCTTCGCGGTGGTGTCATCGGGGGAGTTACGTGGAGCTCTCAGAAGCAAGCCCCGAGTACCTCAAGTGCATTTCAGAGGCTTCAGAGGAGTCGCACAGATGCATAGGTGCACGACTTAGGTGACACGACTGCTCGTATTTTCGCCTCGCATTTTTACCGCCGCCTGCAAAGCGCATGTGCTATGTCATCGGAGCCAGTGTCTCAGCCAGAGTGGCGACTGGTCTGAAGATGGTAGCCTGGTAGCTGGTTGCCCTCAGCTGCCTGCAGGCCTTCTGGGAACCTGAAGCTAGGTGAGAGCCGCTGGCCCAGCAGCTGCTTGCAGGGCCGCACTGACGCTTGGACTTGGGGCCTTTGCAGGCTTTGCCTCCCAAGTGCGCTTGGCATTTGGTGTCGCAAGAGAGGCCATCGCATTGAGACAGCAGGACCTTCAGAGCGCATGGCCAAGCCAAGAGCAGCAACAGTGACGAGTGGCTCCCTCCTTCTGTTTACCGAGCATCTGTTGATGTTGGAGGGCCCGCAAGATAGAGGTTAGAAGATGTTCGATGCATCGCAACTTCTCACTGTCTTCGGGCAGCTCGCTGTTTTGATACTCGGGCAACGACGCCGCATCTTCGATCCACATATGCCCTCGGTGCAGGCTTTGCAGACTGCCACGAACCCTGCCGTCCGCGTGGAAGCAAGAAAGCTACTTTTGCTGGAGAGAGGCTTGAAAGTGCCGCAATAGGATGCAGCATGATGCAGCCAAGCACACATGGGATGGCAGCAGGCCTGGAAAAGGTTCCAAGCGCGACATCGCGCAGGACTCTGCTGCGCAACACTGCCATACTTCGCTGATGCTCACTATTCGAGGGTCATCACGCTGAGGAGCCTGGCTGACTGCTGGATGCCAGCGGCTTAAGTTGCTGAATGCTTTCTGTTGACAACCCGTGACAATCCAATAGTAGCAGCAGGGCACAGTTTCACTGAGAGTGCGTCCAGTCACATTCCGCAGGCAAGCAATTTGTAAAGGTAGTGATGCCAGAGGGAGAGGCAACTCCGTGAACAACGAGAGTGTGCAACGCAACTGCGAGAGTTTCAAGAATGGCAGCAGCAAGTCCAGCAGCAGTTCCAGAGCAGCAGGCTCCAGCAAGTGCAAGTAATGTACGGCTCAATGCTTTCGGCACAAAAAGGCTCCAGAGACCTGAAACGTGCTCGTTTGGGCGGCCCTATGCAACTCTCACGCAGTAACTCCTAATGTACAGTCTGTGAGTAGATTGAAAAGGAGTTAACTGTGAGGAGTGTCTTGCACGTTGGCAGCCTCACTAAGTTCCTCCAAAAGTGGCGGTCTACAGCTAGTCTGTGAGCTTGTAGATAAGAAAACGGGAAAGTAGGGCTTCGGGTGGGAGGTAGCCGGGAGGACTTTAAAAGCCAATGCCGAAGTAGTTTGGTACACTGTTCTGTCCAGCGGACTCTCCTCCTACCTGGCCTGCACCTGCTGTTCCTCCTCTGTACTGAAAAGTATGTGAAAGCAATATTTCCGTTCCATGGTAGTCGGATGGGTGATGGCATCGAAGAATGTGCCCGAAAAGCTTCAGTGCTTTGTGGATGTGGTGTGTGAGGGGGCGTTGCTCTGTGAGGGCGCGAGCCTCTTGGTTGGTGTAGGTGCGGGCTGTTGGCTGTAAGACTTGCGTGTAGTAGGTGCTTGTGAGGTGAAGGATTTTACGGAGGCACTGTGAGTGGAATGCCTCCAGTCTGTTGTAGTCGCCGGTGGGAAACGTGCTCGTACAGATCCATTAACCGCGATCACTGTGAAATGTGCAAGGACTGTAGTTGGCAAGTCCTTTCGAAATAGCTCAGTCATTTGGGGTCGGAGAAGCCGTGCTGTTGAACCACCTCGACGGTTTGGACGGACAAACGGTCGAGGCGATAAAAGGCGGAGCTATCTCGAACACTCACTCGCACACCTCACTCCTCACTTCCCTCTCAGCACTCCTCGCTCCTTAGGCTTTAGGGTTTAGGGTTTAGGGCTCTGCCTCGCTCCTCAGTCTCGCTCCTCACTCCTGTGTGGCGAATTCCATTGCAGCTTTTTCCCTTTCCCCCCATGCTTGGGTGGGACAGTCCTTTTCAGGCAAGTTCCATTTCGGGAGCCTTTTGCATAGCATTGGAATGATTGTCATGATTGTGCAGCAGACGCTGGTCAGAAGTCAGTCAGAACGAGCAGGCCGGTGGCAATGAGCAGCGAAATCCTTCCAGGCAAGCTGCGCTGAAATTGGGACAGAGTGCCTTTCCATGCAGCCGAGCACAGGTGCCAGAGCCGCCATGGCAAAGACTGGCATGGAGGACCTGCTGTCGGCGTAGTGCAACGTTCCCTAGTAGGTGCAGCGTTCTGCTCAGGATGAAGCGTCCACGTCCGCTGAAGACAATGCCGGCGAGATGATTGCAGAGGCACCAGGGCTCTGCGAAGCATGCACAAACAGGCAGTCTGCGGCTTGCATCCTTTGGCCTTGTACTGCCTTGTGCATCGTTACGCACGAGAGTCAGGATAGCGCATCCTCGTTAAGCACATCTTCCAAAGAGACTTTCCCACAGGACAGTGGAATATGTGAGCTGCAGACGGCCCCAGACGTCAGTATGCCAGAGAGTCAGGACTGCGAAGATTTCGTCGGCCGCAGTGCGGACCTGCAGAGACTCTTGCAGATTCTTGGAACTTCAGGAGGCTAGGCTGCCTTTGTAGCCGATGCAGCCATCAGCATTCGCTGCTTCAGGCCGACGGTTGGTCATCTTGCATGGGCCGAATGGGGCTGGCAAGAGTGCTCTAGGCCCGCGGCCCAAGGGGATCAACGGGTGGTTAAAGCCTTGGAAGGCTCCTTACATCGTTCTTTCTTCTGCAGGTGCGGAACTTTGCCGTTTCGCCACATCCCCCGGGAGAAAGTTCGCACCTGCCTCCCGGCAAAAAGTAAACCCAGAGCGAGTTGTTGGTGAGCTGTGCCTGCCGTCAGGTGAAAGGCAACCGCAGGTTGGCGTTTGTGTGCATTGCTTGGAACTGCTGTTGCAGATGCACCGTTAGAGGCTTTCGAGCTTGCTTCAGCTAGGTCACTGCAAGATCCAGGGCGAGGTTCGGATGCAGGCACTGATGACCAAGCGTTCCTGATGGACGGCTTAGTGAGAAGTCCTCGCAGAGGAAGCGTGCGACTGATACCAGAGACGTTTGTTGTAGTCACAGCTTGGTGTAGTCAGAGCTTGGCCAGCCGCATAAGACAATTTGCTATATCAGAAGCCATGAGAGCTGACATACCTTGTTTTCGGGTCGGTAACAGGCAGCAGGCATGACAAGACACCTGTGCCCGGTATAGCTTGTCGCATGTCTTCCACTCACACGGGTGAAAGATGTGTGGTACGTTTTCTGATGTTGTGTCAGCTCACTACCCCCTGCAGACACGGCAGCAGCATGCGCTCGCCTGTCCATATTTGCTGCGGCCGCAACCTTGCTGTGCTTCGCGTGCTGCACCATACAGCGTGACCCTTGTGGAAACAAGGCTGCAGGGCTGGGAAGCCCAAAGTCCTTCGAGGGACGGCTTGTGCGAACTTGTCCGCGCGGCGACGGTTGCGCCTTGCCCACCTCCCTGGATGATGCAAGAGATGGCAGGTCTGGTGGTTGACGATGCTGAGGAGCGTCTCGGCTGGTCCCTGTCTTAAGTGCCAAACAAGAAAGCCCCCAGCAGTACATTTTCTGAGAGGCACAGGCTGCTTGCTTGCGGTTTGCCAGAGCAATAGCCGAGTTGAAGTCTTCCGAGGCGAGACGAGTTTGTGCCAGAACTGCTGGACAAGCATCCACAGCTATGCATACTCCTGCTGAGGCACCACGTGCTGCTGGAACTCTTTTGAATAGACTGGGACTGGCTCATTCAAACGCCGAAAAACACGAGGCGATCACCTTTGTACCGACTAGCAGGCGACGGAGGACCGCAACTGTAGCCAAATCGGACGGTTCTTGCATCATAATCCCTGCGCTGCGACAGAGGAGAGAGGTGGAAGCTCGGGCTTCAGATGGTCTTGAGACCGTTGCTGGCTTGTGCAGTCAGCTTGTGTGATTGGTGGAGGCCAGTCAACATCACACTTGGCCCGCTGCCAGAAATGGAGGCAGAAGATGATGAACTATGCCCCACCTTTGCCTTCGGTGAGTTGACGGCGACGGGCCTTTGCAGGCAGCCCAACTTTTCCTTCAGAGGTGCAGGGCCGAGACAAGAAAGATCTCCACGCGCTCGTGTCGTCGCGAAGTCGCTGCATCGAGGCTGCATCGGCCAATCTTCCCTACAGACCTTTCTCGGGACTCAGAGAAGGCGCGGTGTCGGGAAATCCGGGGCTCGACATCTTCAAGGAGTCAGTGTCGCTTGCAAAATGTTGTATGACATCACAAAGTCAAGGACTAATGAAAGCGAGCATCAGTAGAAGGTGCCGCAGTACCATCACTGTCTAACGAGCTGCGTCCGAGCCGTGCCCCAGGCTGGAGAGCCGCTAAGGCCAACCGAAGAGTTGTTGTCAGAGACCCAAAGGGAAATGAGGAATGCCGCATCTGACATTTGCCAGATTCTGGCAGACCGGCTGAGTCTTTCTGTGAAGGGTTCCCTGTTTTTGGACACGAGGCGTCGAATGACGGAACTTCCGGCATTGGCAGCCTGCAAAGGACCAACTCTGTCAAGCTGGGACAAGCACAGAGCATCGTGTCCAGGGACAAGCCATGCCACAAGAAGCCTTGGGGCCTTGGCAGGCTTTCCACGGAAAGTCGTGCGATTGGCCGCCGAGGCCAAGACGTGCGGATAGAGCAGATGAAAGGGGAGATGAGAGCAGGTGAGAGCAGTGCAGTGGGACGTCCTGGATAGTTGACTGAGACTTGTCGAGGTGACCTGGGAGCTTCCTTCGCTCTTGCATCTCAATCCCGGGATCTAAGCGGGAGAATGTTGAAGCGCCGATGAAATTCGCAGAAAGCATTAAACTTTTTTTACGGCCGCCACAGCTATGACACAGCAAGACTCCACGGTCACTCCTTCCAAGCCTTTCGGCATCCTTCTGATTACTTGAAGGCTTTTGTTGCCTTCGCATTTCTGTGGCAGAGAGCCGTGGTAATGCATTGTCAAGTGCAGTGTAAAAATTTTCGAGCAGGTTGAGATGAGCCTCCTCTCCCTTGCAGCAAAGCCGTCCATGCCTTCCCATCCCAACCTGCGTCTGTCTGATACGCAGCATAACGTTTCGGGCTGCGAAGGCTTGTCCGCAACGGTCTCATCTAAGTGTTTTCGGCATCCGTGAACAGCTCGTGTTTATTAGCTCCGGTGTTGCGGAAGGCCTCAGCAAAGCAAGGAGCAGCTCGGACTATTTGAAGTGTCTAAGGAGCTGCGGCGGAGGGAGTTCCTGGCAAGACATGCAGTAGGGTTGACTTCTTGGCAGGGTCATCTGCTGCCGAAGGTTCCGGATTGTAGCAGACTATGATGGAACTTGACATGTCAAAACTTCCTGTGCGCCCACCGTTTTCCTTTCAGTCGAGGCAATATGCCTTAGGAATTCGCTGCATGCCTACCATTACTACGCTCGGAGCTACTTGCAGACCGCCTCTTGGAAGCTGCAAGAGACACTGGCGGTTTTGGTTCCCGCTTAGCCAATCAGATGGTGAGATATCTCACCCTGGCGGGACATTCCAGAGACATCACGAGAATCGAAGCAATCCAAAGGAGTTCTGCAACAAAAGATTTTGGAGGGGAGGACCCTGGGAACAAGGCTGGGCAGAGTGCCACAAGCTCGCAGCTGAACCGACCTGCAGCAAGTTTCGGCTCCCGGTCGTCCATGTATTGCTTTGTGGCCGCGTCTGGAGATCCCCGGCAGCAGTTTATCCGTGGGAGGTATATTCCCGGCCGTGCGTCTGCAAGTGCAGAACGATCTTGGATGAGTTTCAGCTTAGTCAAAACGAGGTGGCACAACGGCACAGCACTCCGTGCTACCACTCTTCCAATCCCTCGTGCCACTCAGAAGCACTACTGTAGATGGAGCATGCTGCTGCAATCCTGAGTGTCCAGCTACCTTGAGGTGTTGGCTGCAATCCCACCTCGCCATTGAGCCAGCGCAACCGCCGCACATCTGGCTCGGTTCCCAGCATGTGTGAGTGGTTTGATGTAGGCTAGGCTCCGATCGGAGCACATGAGACACACTGGACAGGTGGGCATCCACGGCAGCTCGTGGTGGCCACCATCGCATCTGCGTTAGGTCACCGCTTGGCGAGACAGGGGGCACCAAAACGCCCCTCGGCCTGACTTAATTAGGCCTTGACACATCTTCGCAGCAAAATGAGGGAGCTTTCGTGAAACCAAAGGAGGCATCTCAGGTCGAATGGCAACATGCCGCCTGGAATTGATGGGTGTGTATGACTATCCCAGGCCGTTTGGCTGATGCACGATGTTGCACGTGTGTCAAGAAGTTTGAATCGTCATCTTTTCTGAAGGCATGCTGCCACGGTTCTGCGGAAGGTCAAAGGTGCTGGAGTAGTGTCTGGATTTAACATCCCCAACAAGAAACCGGGAGAGCCTCTGCTGGAATGGGACTTGGCCTCAGTACTCTCGATGCTCGTGCCGTTGAGTTGGCGAGATGCCGGGGGCCTAGGCTGGCACGCTCCTCCAGGAGTTTCCTGCGGTGGAGGTGACTGTGCATTACAGCTGCTGGGCTTGAGATACCAGGGCCTGCAGACGATTCGTGAGCTCTCGGGCCTTGCCTGTATGGCTTGATGGAAGCCGTGCGGATTCGGTAACTGCGTTCTGCCGTATAGGCTCGGCGCGTGCTTCGGGAGTTGTGCAGGCCGCCCCCGAATAGTGCCTTTGGAAGATGTTCTTGTAGTGCAATAGGCCGAGCAGAGCCCACTCCCAGTGCCAGGTCACGACGAAAGACTTCTAACCCTACGGCCTTACCAGGGCATCGCGTGTTCCAGTCCTTGAACTCAGGTTTGAAACACCAACGCAGGGAGAACGTGGTGGAGGTGCTAGCTTTCGTCCTATTCAGAGCCTCTCAGATCTCGCTTACGATCTTGAGCATGAACTTCCCGAGCCAGATAAGAAATCGAGTTTTGAGTCTGGGGAGGTGCTTGCAGGTTCCTAATCAGGCCTTCGAAATGCAATGCCTTTCCAACTGCTCGCCCTGGGGAACGCAAGACTGGATATGCTGCATATGCCGATTCGCAATGCTCAGGTAAACTGCAGCATGAAAGCTAGAGCATTTCAGTTTGGTGGCTATGCTCAACAGCGCGTGAGAGTTCTTCAGCACTAGCACTAGTTTAGGACAGCTTGGACTCCCAAGTCGACCACACCATGAGCATACTGTCCTTTTGTTGGGGGGGGGGGGGCGGGCGGTCGAGAGGCTTTCCGGACTTGGTGCCACGACGCTGCGGCCGTGGGAGTTAGCAGAGATGCTTGGACTGCACAACGCATCATGTGATTTAAATTTAGTGGTGATATGATGTAAACCGTAGGCCGCACGCCGGTTTTACATCTGGCTTCATCTCAGCAGTGCAAAGAAGATGTGCTATCTGAAGAGTCAAGGTGCTGCTGGTCACCGGTCCTCGTGGTCCTCGGCAAGACACGGCCGCCCGACTCTGGTGCCGCGAGCGGTAAACAATTTAAAGCACCGATGCCGGAATCGAAAGCAGATCAGGGCCAGGTAGCGTTGTTTCAATGCAGACCAAAGTCTCCATCCCTGCGGCATGTTGAAGGCATGTCCGGTCTGGTTCAGGTAAAAGTGCTGAAGCAGTTTGGACGGCCAGTTGAAGGCATCCGTTTGGGCGTCGCCTTCAATGCCGCTCGGTAGCATTGAGATGAGAATGGGGCTTTTAGAAAAGCATGTGTCGCGAGAACGGATCTGGCAGGCATGTTTGCCAACAGATGCAGAACGAGAGCTGGAACGACAGCGCTTGATTCAGAAACTGCGCACTGGATTAGTGAATGATGTATGGCTGTCACCTGACCGCGATTATCGGAAACGGCAGAAGCTGCTGGCAGAACAGATTGCTTGCCCATTGTGTCTGCTGGCGGTTCTTTAGGAACACTGGTGTGGACGAAGACTTGCTGCGAAATGGTGTGGCATTTGTCAAGAGCACATGCGACAAGCTGCTCGCCTGAGCTTCTAGTGGATGTCGCATGAATCCTTCGCATCCTTGCTCGGCCTTCGGGCCAGTGACCTTGTTCCAGAGGCTCAATGTCAAGCCTGAAATATTTGGATCGGCGATGCTCCCCAGCGAGGGGCAGCTGCAGCAGATGCGGGAACGCCCGTGGAACGGTGTCCAGTTTAGCGAGGACGGGGCCGGGAATCCCGGTTCCCAAGAAGAGCTTGCATCAAATCACGTTGTTCGCACGGGTAGCTTCATGAACCCTGGGATCCCCAAGAGCGGAGCTCCACCGAGCGCCTTTTTTGCCAGGAGTTCCTAAGTTCTGTCGAAGGGATGGGCACAGCGACGAGCAGAGCCCTGGCCGTCTTCCGGGAGATGGGAGTCGAGCCCATCCTCGAGAGCAAGGCCAGGAAGCTGTCGGTGGGTTCAAGGATGACACACTTAGTTGGGCTTAGCTTATCTTTCTGCAGATGCTTGGCATAGCTTAGCGACTGAGCCTTAGAGTTACAAGTGGCGGTGATTGTTGTTTTGCTTCGCAGATTATCTGTCCTTCCAGGTGAAGAGCGACGCAGATATCTCAAAGCTGAGTGCTCTCCTCAAGGACGATCTGGAAGAGCTCAGGGAGCTCTTGGGAGCTGAGGGAAGTGCCGCAAAAGGCCCTGCTGTTAGCCAGCCACCTGCCAGCGGTTAAGCCCGTGCTCTTTGTTATGCTTTGGCTTTTGCCTTCACGGGTGCAACAACGCAGTGTCTCGGGCTGTGTTGGAGCGGTATGCCTGAGGTTTGGATCGACCAAAGCTGCCAAAGCTTTCGACACGCAAAGACCAGGCTCTGTGTGCTTCACCGAACTCGGCAGCCACTCTGAGAATGCTCCGGATGTGTCACGCTGGAAAGGTGCCGACGAGGTGTTTCGTCCTCCGAGGCGGCGCTGGGGGAAAGACCAAAGACAGAACGCGTAGTTCGCCGTCTCTCCTGGCGTTGTACAGATAACGTAGCAGAGTGCTTCCTGAAGGCCCAGGCACTGCTGTCTCACCGCAAGCAACAGTTTTCGGCCAACCAATTTTCGGCCAACCAGCAACACGCCAGGGTACTGAGAAACTAAACTGCGAAATCTGCCAAGATTCTTGTGGCCACTTCAGATCGGATGAAGACTGCTTTCTTCCTTCAGCTTCTTGAGCCAAAAACTCTCAGCTGGTTTCAGATTCAGATCCCTTATGCCGAGCCACAGCTCAATGCAGACAAGCATGACTGACCTGCCGTAGACAGCTTCTCCTATCTCCCGGGCAAATCATGGATGCGACTGCTGATGCCAAACCCGAGCCGACAGACGCGGCTGCGTCGTCCAAAGTTTCAGAGCCTCAGGTGGCAGGCAATCCAACTCTCGCAGGCTCGCCAGCACCAGTTGCAGCTTGCAGTTCCGGAAGTCTCATCGATTGCAAGGCGAGGATGCCAAGCTCTCATCCACCGAGCCAGTTGCTGTGCCGCAAGACGTTTTCGCCAAGCACGAATTCCCGCTCGACTCAACTGCGCATGAGAAGGCGACCCCGGCACCAAAGGCTGGCAAGAAAAGGCTTGGTGCAGCATGTGGGTGAGATTTGCGAGCACAGCGCTGGGTTTTCAAAGTGCCCTTGCCTTAGCAGGGCTGCCGCAGATGGCGGCGCGGCCACGAAAGCTGCAAAGCGACAGAAGGTGGAGCTCACGGTTGGTGACAAAGGCGTTTTCTTCACGACCGTGAACACAGGCTCACCGTGGGTCGTAACTCGAAACAGACAGTTCTGCAGTTTCGTGCTTCGGCTCGTGTGTTTGCGGGAGGCGGTGCTGCTAATGCGAAACGCGACCTTCAGAACCTGCTTGAGGATGTGCAGGCCAAGTGATCAGGAAGGATGGTAGCCACGTCGTGGGAAGATGAACTTCGGCAGACTGCCGACGCCTCGCCACTTCATACAGAAGTGCATGATGTTGATGTGTTGTTTTGTGAGCTTCTACACGCCCTTTCTGGCCATTCACCTTTCGCTTGGCGGGAAGTAGCATGCAGTCATCACCCTGTCAGGGGGCCGACGCGAAAATGGCAAGGCAAGAAAGAGTGTTGGCCGCATGCGCGTGTACTCGGAAGGGTTCCCAGCTTGAATACCAGGCAGGACGAGAACGCGCCTCCGGGCAAGCCGAAGTTTGTGCCTTGCACGGAGGTGTGGGGCGGAGCCTTCTCTCCGAACCCCTCTTCAAATCCCTAAACCCCAATGTGCTTGGCAGGCGGGAAAGGGTAGTGGACTTCTCAAGCTGGTCTCCGATTCGCCGGAGCCCTCCAAGGCCACCATTTGAATCTGAGAGATCGGCTGCGAATTAGTAAATAGTGCCTCAGCAGCTTCACAGCCAGAGCCATCGAAGATCTCCACGGTATTGTGAAAGTTGCTCGACATGTTAGGGCAAGTTGTAAGGAACACGACAATCACTACTGTATCATGTGAATGGGCGCTTGATACTTAGTCTAGGCAAGAAGCTTGAATCAGCTGACTCGGGCACCCTGTGTCCCTTCTTTCCTTCCCAGCAGCATGGCGGTGGAAGACATTGGCAAGAACGACGAGGAGGATCGTTGCGAGGGGAATTCTGAGCTCCCCGACTTACTGGAGCTGATTGAAGTGGCCGAGAACTCCGCCGGGGATGTCCCTGGATTCGCAGAAGTGCTGCGGCAGGTCGGCCGTCGCGTGAAAGCCAGCCCAGAAGACCGGGATTTGTTGAGCGACTTCGAAGGCATCTCCCAAATCTGTGATGCCCTAAGCAAAGAGCCTCATGAGTGGCAGGGAGAGGCAATGCTGGCATTCTGCCGAGCGATGCCCGATGTTTGCCGAACGAGCGTTGTGAATCGTGCCTCACTGCGCGATGCTGGATTTCTGACAGCTTGTATCCGCCTGCTGCATGGGGCAGCATGCGAGAAAGACGAAGCCACCGCAGTGGCTGCCAGCACAGCCATTGCTGCACTGTGCACTGCCAGCGATGCCAACAAGCAGATGGCAATGGTTGCACACGTGGAGCCTTCTTCCGAGCAGCGCGTTCCTGGAGTGCTGCGTGTGCTGCTCGATGTTCTGTTGATGTTTCCCGACTCTGTGCCAGTACAGGCTGAGTCCATGGCAGCGCTGCGGTCTCTAGTTGTGGATGACGACACCAGAAAAGCTGAAATAGCACCTTCAGCTCTGGAGAACCGCGAGTTGCTGCTCGGCGACGACCTGTACCCGGAGGTAAAGCGTGTAGTGCAGAATGCGTGCCAGCTTTCGCAGCACCATCCGCTGACTGTGAAGCTTGGCGAGCAAGCTTTGCTTCTTCTCCGCGAGATTGCAAGAGGCCAGGATCGCATACAGGAGATTGCGAAGCCAAGCAACAAGCTTCTGGCATTCGTGCAAAAGTCGCTGGCATCTTCGGAACCTCGCATCGTTCGTGCAGCGATGGGCGTTCTGCGAGCGTTCGCGCTATGTGAAGATGTTCGAGACGAGCTTTCTTTGCAGCCGGCCCGCATTCAAGCGTATTGAGCTGGGTCAAGCCGAGGGCAAGCACATCTTGTTTTCGTCACGCCCAGCAAGCTAACTCCACATTCCAAGCTCTTGGACTCTGGGGCTGAGTCCTTCGCAGTAAGGTCGTGTGAGACTTGCCGGTATGTGCAAGCCGTTCAGCGACATTTGGCGACTCCAGTTGTTTGTGAACAAGGTTTTGGCCTTCTCGCAAACCTCACCCTTCGCAGCTTGCCTGCGAATGGCAATCTTACCTACAGCGACTGTGTTTTTGTTTGAGTCGTCGTATCCTGAGGCAACCCTGCCATGGCGCCTGCCTCCCAGACAGCTTTTTGACCAGAGACGGCTGATTAAGTCCATTAGCTCAGAATGGTTCAGGCTTGCGGAAGATATGTGTCACAGGTCTTTCCTCAACGACACCGATCATCAAGTCGTCTCTCTGGGCCAGCAGGTGCTGCAGAAGCACTCGGACAGGCATCGGCGTATGTCATGAAGCCAGCTTGCTGTACCTGTGGCTACGAAGCAGATCGCAGAAGGGCTGCAGTCCACCAGTCCGATACCACTGCACAGCCTTGCACAGGCCTGATGTGGCGAAGTCAGTGATACAATTGCTGTGGAGCCTTTTGCCAGCAGATCAGTCGACTCGTCGAGCAGAAACTTTGGGAACCATGGACATTCACTATTCAAGCCCACGATTCTGTCGTCAAGCACGGCTTCACACACCAACCGCGCAGCGCGCAGAGTCAATCACACAGACTGACAAGCGGGCACAAACGCACTTTGCTGAAAGTATGCTAGGCTTCTATCTTGACTTTTGCACAGCTTGGAATCGACAGCAAGAAGACGTTGAGACGAATTGAGCTGCGGCAACCATGGAACAAGACGCCTAGCGTGGGATTCAATTCATAACGAATCTGCGGAGTTGCAAGGCTGTGCATGCAAAAACCATCGGGATGCATTGAGGCTTCCTCTTGTGAGACTTTGGGGTTGGTCTGCTCTGATTGCATCAGGTTGCGTTAAGTCAGGCTATGCTTGATTACCGTATGACCGATCGGCGCAGAGTGGAGGTAGTTGGGTCAGATTAGACCAGGGTGTTGGTACCTTAACATGCTGGAATGGCTTTGGTGATGTTTGGTGATGCTTCCAGTCGTCTTGGTGGGGCTTGGCGGTTTCCTGAGCTAGACTGCATCTGGAGCTGGATTTTCCCGCGGACCCTTTTCTTTTCGGGCATGAAAACGGAGTGCTTCGGCTTGCCCTGGAATGGAGAAACGAGCCGCCAATGATGCTCATGATGCTCGCTTCCCGGGCCCGGCCGGGCGCCAATGATACTCATGATGCTCGCCGCACTGGCCCGGCCGAGCATCAATGATGCACATGAGTTTTTTTTGAGTGGCTTGCTTGGCTCGTATGATCATGTTTGTAATCGGGCGGCTCGGTCGATACCGATACGTATGCGATCATACCGAATACCAGCCCCCACCAGCTACCAGCCAGACACCAGCCAGACACCAGCCAGCCACGCCGCCGCCAGCCACACACCGGCCACCCCCCACCAGGCACGCTCGCCAGCCACACACCCGCCAACCCCCACCCCCCACACACACCAGCCACCCCCACCAGCCACACCAGCCACACCAGCCACAGCCACGCCGGCACCAGCCACACACCAGCCACGCCCCTACCAGCCACACCAGCCACACCAACCACACCAACCACACACCACCCAGCCACACAGCCACACACCAGCGCCCCCCACCAGCCACATCAGCCACGTCCCCTGGGGCTGGGGGCGTGCTGGGGTGGGGTGTGGCTGGTCGGGGCTGCGGTTCGGTTTGCAATACACGGCGGTTTTCGATAAAAAGTATTGTTGAAGCAGCCTTAAAAGTAGCCCTTGAGCCCTGCCCTGTGCCGGATGCAGACGTCGCGTCCGAGTAACAGTCTGCTTGCCTGCCTCGGCTTGTCCACTGCTGCTCTGCCCTAGCTTTCGTCCCAGTCCCTCCTGCACAAGTTCGGTTTCGGTGTGTGAATCTGTCTTTGACCTCGGCCTTGAGCTCGAACAGTGCAGAAGCAGTTGGTCGTGATGCAGAATGATGCAGATCTTCGTGTGGATCATGATGCTGCTGCAGCTTCTTTGGCTATGGCTGAGCGGCTGCTGCTCGTGGTGCTGTGGTCTTCTTGTTCGTGGCACTGGCATCGGCAGTACCACCAAGGGTTGGCGGTGATGTTGAATTTTGCGTAACGATTTTGGGTGCCTCTGGCTGGTGAAATTTCGACAGGTCTTCTTGATCCTCTCAAAGCGGCTTTATTGCGTTCATAATGCTTAAAATGCTGTGAAGTGTCGAAGTCTTGGATTCGCCACAGGAAGGCAAGTCTAGCTGGAAGCACGAAAGCTGAGCATGGCTGAAATTTCTCATCTGCAAGACACTACGAACCCTAAAATCCTGAAGTCATGGCACCGAAGCCGAGAAAAACGCTCAAAGTGCTGCACCAGAAACCCGCTCATCAAGAGTGCAAGCTTTGTTAGCGGAGCTAAGGTGTAGCGCGGCAGGACACCAAAGCCCTCGGCGAGGTCACACGTGACATAGTCTGTCCGTGCACCGCTCTTGCTGCAGCACGGTCAGATGGCCCAACCGGACCTGACAAGTTCAAAAACTTGTTCACGTCATGTCCAGCGTCAGAGCTGCTTGCAGGTTCGTGAGCTGGACCTTTTCGTCGCCATGCGCAGCATTGTGACGGAGCATCAAACTGATCCTCGCTGGCATGACGCGGTGGAGGCTTTGGATAGTTCATTGACGGATGCCCAACAAGGCTTGCCATGTCATGAGCGATTTTGCAGGTCGTGCGCCAATTCCTCCGTGAATTTCGCGAGGACGCAGGTGTGCAGAAGAAAGCCATTTACAATGCAGCCAAGCTGCGCTTGAGGATCGACAGCACGACTGACCAGGTTGTCCCAAACATCTATCGTCGGTATGTTTGCCCATGCATGGAACACTTCGAAGTTTATCCCGTGACCCTTCACCATAACATGATGTTCTCTGAAGCCACCCAGCCAAGGACTACTATTGATGAGAGGATCTCCTGAGCAAAGCTTCACAGACCCGTCGTAGCCACGTCATGATTTGAATATCTGTGGTGTTTACAGCAGGACAACAGCAGTAGGAAGGAGTGTACTTGTGATAGAACAGTAGCGGAATTGTTGCCACGATCACCTTGATACCAGCGCTTGTGCCGAGCCATTGCATATCCGGGTTGGCAGAGAGGGAAGGTCAAACATTGACCTCCTCTGCATGAGAATATCAAGAGCAGGCTCGAAAAGAAATCCACCACTGTTCTCGCCAGACAGCCTGACCCTGAGCCCCAAATTCCTAAACCATCAACCCTGAACCAGGGACGGCCCGGGACACTAAATCTTAAGTCTGACATCCAACAAAATGAATCCTCAACCCTCGACCCTGTGTGCTAAGCCGCGCGAGGTGGTGAGCCAGATGCTGGAAGCCCAAAGAGCTGGCTTCCTGAGTACAGGCCGCCAAGTGACTGATGGTTGTCGGTGTCAGTTTCATCAGCATCATGTTTGTTGACAGCGAGCATTGTCTGTTGTCGCTATTGTCTGTGGTTGTCGCTGTCATCGTCATAGTTAGCTTCGATTGTCAGCACTACTGACTCGTTGCAATCTGTTGTTTCTGGGTATTTACACGGATTGATGCAGGCATGGCTACCGCTTCGAGGCGAGTGGGCTGCGCACGGCTCTTGCGCAGTGGCTGTATTCTTGAATGAGGCTAATATGCAGAGTTCTACCTCTGGATAATCTTTGACGCTTGCCTTCAGTAGCACATGCTGCCTGATGAGCTTGGTGAACAAAGGGGGCTACATGCCCAGGTAAGCCGTTTCTGGAGGATTTCCGCCAGCTGGCGCAGGACCGACGCATGAGTTCCCAGACTGTGCTTTCGAGATCGAGAGCTTAGTCCAAAAAGGCAGTCCTGCCTCCTCATCTGGGCGCCGATGTTGCCGCAACAACATGGGCCTTGGAGTGCTCCCCTTGTGTGGGTTCCTGACGGATGCCGGCAGAGCATCCGAAAGCACTGAGCGCGGTCCTAGGTTCAAGGCCCGCAACACAAACACACTCAAGAAGGAGGCCAGAACCCCGGCATCCGCAAACTCGAAGTCATTTCGGGTGCTTACATGGATATTAATCGGATACTAGTTGCGTGAGGCCGTCTTGGAAGTACTGGACGCCATCATTCCGAAGGGTCACCACAAGGTTGAGATCTCATCAGCAACAGGTGTCCTGAGCACAAAGTGATGAGCACAGACAAAGGTAAACCTCAACGACCCCGCTAAGTGCATTCTTGTGGAGGTCTGACCGTCTGGGTAAGTGCGCGCTGAAGCCAGAATCCCCTCCCGACGCTGCATCTAGCAGCTGCGTTGCAGGTGCAACCTTCATGGTGCGGCTTAAGTGTCGTGGAAAACTGGGCAAGATTGACATCTGCCAAGTTATTCAAGTCTGGTTCCTCGTAGAGCCCGATGCAGCCGCCGAAGCAGCTATGATGTGCCAGGAAGAAGTACAACCTCCATGCCTTGACCACGCCAGAGGACGAGCGAAGACGTGCGCCCCACTGGCCTTGCAACCAGCAGAGACCGTCAGGACAATAAGACGAAAGTCAGCAACGCCGTCCGCACCTTATCAAAGCCGACATTTCACCTGGTTCGCCTGTGCAACTTGTTGAAAGGTGTTCGAGGAAGTCAAGAAACCCGAAGAGCCGAATGCAAAAGCAGAGGCCAGACCTGAATGAAGGAAAACAGATCGATGACCACAGAGCGCTTGCTTGCTTTCTTTCTGCTTTCCTGGAACTGCTCCGAAGCTCGGATTTGTAGTTGCAGCTTTGACCTCAGACCGCCTATGCCAACCCATTTCCACCCCCATGCAAGGAAGAAAAGTATAGCGAAAATTGCAGGCCAAAGTGATCTATTCTCCTGAACCCTTTCCGGTCGACACCAAATAGATTAATAAAAATCCCGATTGCACAGAATAAACTGCATTGGAGCCTATTTAATTTGAATATCTTATCTAGATGAGTCTCTTTACTTTAATCTTTTATCTTGATTAAATCTAATCTGAATTCATGAATTAATTAATGTAGGTAAACAAATATAGATTGTTTATCTCTTCTACATGTTTTAATGCTCCAATAAAACGCAGCTTTTCCGGCTCCGCCTTCTGCGGCCTCTTGCAGGCCCGACTTGGGGATCTAAATGTTCCAAACATTTGCGGCCCTGCGGAAATGGCTGGGGCTCGAAATGTTCGGAAAATGTCCGTCGCGGGTGGGCCTGGCGCATTTGGGACGTAGCTCTAATTTTTGGAGTACGCAGACCGAGCAAGGCGATCCAAACCCGGGTCCGGTTCGGTTCGTGTGTCTGGTTCAAGTCCGGTTCGGTCCAGTTCGTGTCCGGTTCGTGTCTGGTTCGGGTCCGGTTCGTATCCGGTTCGTGGCTGGTTCGTGTTCGGTTCGGGTTTGGGTTCGTGTCTGGGTTGGTGTCTGGTTCGTGTCCTCTGGTCCGTGTCTGGTTCGTGTCTGGCGCGTGTCTGGGTTCGTGTCTGGTTCGTGTCTGGTCAATCTTGCATAATGGGATTGAATCGGGTCTGGTTCGTATTTGGATTCGTGGCCGGTGTTAAAACTGGGAATGTCAGCAATTTACAGTGTATAGCCGCAAAAGCATAGGTTAGCCTAAACTGAGGGGGAACCTATTCAAGACAAAGACTTGCGCAGCTATGACTCGTCCATCTGCTGTAGCAGTTTTGACCCGAGTCTTTTCAGATCAAGCTCCTTAGCGCCCCCGGCCTGCCCGACCTGGGCTAGAGGTCATGTACCCAGTCCAATGAGCGTTGCGCATAGATGTTTCCTTCATGACTGCGCTGGTTGTGAGGCAGCGATGAAGTCAAAGAAGAGCCAAAAATTTACATGCCCATGTTGCAAGCGCATATTCGAGACACCACAAGCGCTGGGCAATCATTTGAAGACGCACCGGCTCAATATCTGGGTCCAGAGCGAGGCGGAAAGTTGCAATCGTGAGGGCAGCTGCGCTTGGTTGTGACCGTGTGCCGTGAGCTTCATCTTAGTACGCCACAGGAAAAGCATCCAGCACAAGCTTTCAAGGTGAAAGGAACAGTACGCGAACTGCAAAATGTCAACGACCTGAAGCAGGTCTTGGCCTGTGAGCAAAGTCGTGGCAGCATGAGCTCATGCTGCGCCATTTGGTTGCCAGTGGCATCTGAGGCCATCAAACGTGTGCTGCTAAAAACGCTGCGTGATGTGGATTGGCCATCCATTTTAATTTTCGTCAGCGAGGCGTGGCATGGGGGTGTGCCGTATAGGATGTTGCGTGCTTCAATTTTTTCTTGGAGGCAAGTGGTCTCCGCCGGATGAAGCCCGACGAGAGCTTGGAAAATGGCAAATCTATGTGTGCCCCTCATTGTACGCTTTGCTTGCATGTCTTGTGCTCGCTTGACCTAGTGTAGAACCGAAGGGGGCCTTGTATTGCGCCTGCTGCTAGTGCTACCGCTACGAGTGCCCATATCACCACTATGTCTTGGTTGTGCCAATAAGGGCAGACGCCTACCACTTCAGCGCGGGGCTGAGAGAGCCGAATTCCAATTCGATATTTTGTCGGATTTTGTTGCAGAAAATTAATATAAATTATTTTTGGTATTTGAACTTTCGATCTATATTAGTTAATAAAATAATTTTCATTATTTCAGTATATCTTATTCATAAGAGAATTTCATAAAATTAGAGTACTCTTTTTGGGATCTTTATAATAGGGATCTTATTATTTAGGAGACTATATCCGGGTTTCTTATTTTCGGAAAATATTAAAAAGATATAGTTTAAATAATCTTAAATTTTTTATTTTTATTAATTCTGGGTGGTAAATAGATTTAATAATTTCTTCGAGCCGGCATTCTTTTCTTTCTGATACAATTTCTATTTCTTATAATTTTTTTTAATAAAATAGATTTTGATATTTTAAATATTAATAATATATTTGATAATATTAAAGAATTTCGGAAATTTGAGCATTTATTTATATAAAAAGCGCTTCGAAATTTCTATACATATCTCATAAGTAATTTCTTGGAAATAATGTCTTGAAGCATGGGATTAAATCTACTGAGCGGAATAAATATCGCATGGTTGCGATGGATAGTCCTCTTTATAATCGATTTGGACGCTTATCTATCACTTTGCTAAATCGTGGTCGTTGCCTCCAAAATTAAAGGGACATTTCTAATTTTAAGAGGTTTTATAAAAGATTATAAATATGAATTCTGAAAACTTCTTGTAGATAGAAAGCTATAATGTAAAACGACCCAAGATTACGAGATAAATATTAGAATCTATGTGCTCTGCCGGCTTTTATTTGGTCCATGAGGGTCTCCATTTGCTTTCTGTCGAATCACTGATACGATTCCCAACGTTCTCTATGGTGACGATTTAGTGGATATACATATTCAGGATGCTATAATTTTAGTGGCGCGAGGCCTATATGGAACTGTAGCAGCTTCTAAATTTCAAGAGCAAAGGCGCTAAAATCAGGCCGCTTCGTGATACAGGGGCCAGTACTTCAAATTTTCAAGTATTAGGAGTTCTTCTTAATTTTGATACCACTGCGCTCCAATGGAAACGTGGCTTGATTTATAGTACATAATAGAAAAGTAAATAATATATGGCCATAATTATATCTGAGTTGGAGTAGAATCACTTAAAGTGGCTGGCAAGGTCAATGGAGCCTTTATATGACCTCTGAGTAAATTTTCCCGGGGTAATCAGGTTATCTGGCGAGTGCTCCTGGCTACTATGATCGATTTCAGTATTTTCCTGGGTGCCTCCGGGCCCATGCCTGGGCATATCCCTGGCACGTTAGCTGGCAGAGCGGCGCTCATTTTCGTGGATGCGGAAGGCAAGGGCAATAATTACAGGCTGGGAGAAGAAGTTGAAGGAATAGATTAGCTTTGCTTTGTCTCCCGAGCGATCGGGCCAGAAGATTCCAAGCTGCTGCCGTGACTCTCGGGCCACTGCATGAAGGAGGCTGAGACCTTAGCAATTAGAATCGTATTATTCTCCTGGTCCAACCGACTAGAAAATATGGATGCCTTCCTCTTTATAGATAACGTGCCTATCGAAGGAATCTTAATCAAAGCCTATAAGTCGTCTCCCTACCTCATGATTTTAGCAGGAGTGTTCTGGCAGATGGTCAGACGGGTCATATGCTCAGCCTGGGTAGTCTATATTCCGTCAGAATTCAATATGGCAGATGGTCTAAGCCGGGAGCATTATTCAGGTTTGGAGCAGCTCCACGCTTCCCATGACACAGCATTTTTAATTCCGACTTTCATTGCTAACTTCTTCTTGCAATTCTTGCAGAAAACCTGGATCCAATAAGATATATCTATTAGGCACGCAGTTTCGGGACCGTGTCCCATGCAACCGAGCATCAGTGGTCCGGCAGCCACAGTGGCCCAAAGCCTGAGACGGGCAAGCGTTGCAGAGGCATCTCCGGTGCTAGTCGCATCCGAACATGCGGTCCGTCAAATTCTCCCAAGGAATTGAGCTTCTCGAGCAAGTCGTAAATGTCGTCTCCAGGGTCAATACTATTGGTGAGTTTATCATTATCGAAGGAAAAGTATCTTCTGTGCCTTAAGTTTTAGTATGAACTGGATTTTGTAGATTCGCATTTTTGATATTTCGAGGTTTCCTTTGATTGCATCTAGAGAATTTATAATTATTATCGGATTGGTCTTCAGCTTACGTGCTTTCCGCTTGGGCACTTTCTGACTTCAATTTTCGGCAGTTGCTACCGATTAATAGATAGCTGATCTCGATATTCAGCCTCTGCTTGAATGCACCCTTGACGAAATATCTAAAATCTCCTTAATATGTGGGGCGGCATAATAGGCGCTCCTTCTATTTGATTATCTATAGAGGCTCCTCCCTAAATATTCGTTCCTAAATCCCTTATGCATACGAACAGATTATCTTTTCTTGGGATGGTTCTGCAGGTCTTCGGAGTAATAGTTGAGTAGCATTATTTATGGTAGCTTAAATGGCGGCTGGGCGGTCGCGTCCAGCTTCTCTCTATTGGAACGGCTATCGCTATTCTGATAGTTCAAAAATTCTTGCTCGTTAGTTTTTTACAAATCTTAATTTGATTTTTAGAAATGATGCCTCTATTCTTGGTTTAGGATTCAATTGATGGCTCCAGGCCTGGCTCGGAGGATTATAATTTCTGAATATATTAATTTCAGATTTAATCAAGAGATTCCTCTCAAAAGAAAATATTAAATAATTTGCTAGGGAGGATATTTTTAGATATTTTCTAATAGAATTTTTATATATTTCGTATCGCTTGCTCCCACAGACCTGAATAGATATAGTGCCAAGAAGAGATCTTTTATAGAAGCGAAGGAAGTTCCAGCAATCTATCGTAGGAGATCTAGAATGGAGGTAGCGGTCAATTACAGTGCAGTTGCAATCGGAGCCTTCCGACTCCAAGTCTGCAAATTCCAATGATATTTTGGCTTCGCCGGCGGCAACAAATATCAAATTGGCATATCCCGATCCTTCCGGCTATATCAAGCTATCGGTATGCTCGCTCCGCGATTTCACAATCAAATAGGACCGATATCTACACAAGAAATCGCTCTATTAGAAGATTTGGCACGCAGAAATTTTCCCATAATTCAGATCTTGGATTCGATTGTATCGGTAAGGGCTCAAGC